CTGATTCTATGTTTATTGGAATAATATAGTCTGTAGTCTACGCGAGTTGTACACATTTAAATTAAACATGTTTCAACGGTTTAAAATGCAAAATGTATTAGTTAGACATATTTACAATTTACTTCCCGTCACCACGCTGCGGCGAAGCATCCAAAACGTCCGCGTCGTCGAATTTTACCAAATGTTAAGTATAATTTTAGAGTACTTATCTTGGTGATTTCTTCTCTATGATTTCCTTGTGCATTATGTGTGCGTTTGCCTGCATTCCAGGCTTGATAGAATACGATGAGCCTTTTACTAGTGTTAAAACGAATTTCTCTACAATAGGTTACATTCTTCTGCCATGATATATCTATACTAATATTATAAAGTTGTCAACCACGGCCGTGCCCCGTTGTTCTTATAAGGTATCTTACATTTTCAAAGATAGACATATATATATACACTGCCGAAAAAAAAATTTTAGATCTCTAAAATCATTCGAAAATCAATCATTTTTGGGTATCTTCAACCGGCTTTGCAACGCACGCAACTGAAACCCACAAAAATGAATAATTTTCTCCGAATTTTCCACATTTCCTTCCGTTTCTTCCTCCCTGAGATGAGGCGGTCCAAACTAACTCTTCAGCATTACAATATTTGTATAGATGTGTAATCAAATAAACAGTAGGTATTAGAGATTCGTCGAGTAACACTTTTGCCGAGTAACGAGTACCGAGTTTTACTCGGTTCAGGATTTTTTTTCAAGCGAGTACTCGGCCAAGTAACTCTGTTTAAACAAATTCTCACTTCGCGCGTATAAACAAGTACAAATAGATTCGCGCCGGTCACGACGTCGGCTCGCTCTCATCTTCTCGTATTTTTGTCCCTTTAGTACTCATTCATTAGCATAATTTTGGTTTTGTTAAATTCAATTTTCAAAGATTTCCTAAATTACTTATAAATACTTTTGGATTCACACTGTTGTTTTATTAATATCTGTCTAAATATATTGATTTACTTAAACAAAGTATGCACGTTATCAAATAACAAAGAACCGAGTACGAGTATCAAAATACCCGCCGAGTAACGAGTACTCGGCCCATCTCTAGTAGTTTTATTTGTGGATAAGTAAAATAGCTTTTTCATACTTTGTATAATTAAAACGTAATTAACATAAATACGTTGATTTCGCAATGCATAACTGCGCACTTTTTGCTGTTGTATGTTGCCAGCTGTCTATAGTTTATGCGAGTAGTACACATTTACATAAAACACTTCAACGTTTATAGGGGGGAAAAATGGGTTAATTTTTGAAAGTTTACTTGCTCTCCCCGTGACCACGGCTGCTGCAAAGCATCCGAAACGTCGGGCCGAAGTTAAAATCATTTCCAATTGCGTGTTAAAGTTAAAAGTGTTTTATTTAAATGTTGCCAGCTGATAAAGTATCAGGACACAATGCGGTCTACATAATCTTCGCGAAATCTCGTTCGCCGCTCGTGGGGCATGGGGCGAACACGTTTCTGTGTCCGTTTCACTGATCCGCTCTTCACAAGTATTTGATCAGACTTCTGTGCCCTACCCGACCAGAACCGGGCATCGTCAACGTTCCGTGATTTTTTAAATTATATAGTGCCTTCATGTGCAAAATGTTAAAAAATAATGAATTTTTCAAACTTGATTATTTTTCATAATGTTAAGGTTTTCATATATGTATTTTAAATTTGGTATTGAGGTTATTTAAATTACGTTTCGAACCCGTTGTTCCGCTCCATGTCCGAAATCCACTACTTCAAGTTACCTGGGAGGACAGACAAGGTGACATACACCAGCCATAATACCGAAACAAAATGCTTTCCACCTATTTCAGCTTTGGGTATACGGTTCGTTTTGCAAGATATGTATTACTACGCACCGCTTCACTGTTGTATCAGCTACCTAAGGACCTCCAAGACAAGGCATTTTTGTTGTTTTTTTATCCAAACATAATGTTTTTCAATTCAAACAAGTACTTAATGAGATTACTCCGTTCAACTAAAGTTTTCGGCTTTATCTAATACTAGCTGTGCCCGCGACTTCGTCCGCGTGTAATAGTGACTTGGGGTAGAATTTTCAATTATTTAGGCTGTTTATTAATTTATGTAAGGGCGCATTTAAGGCAGTCAATCTATGTTGTAATTGCTACTTGTCCGCAGAACTCTCACCTCACATGACTCCTACTCTAACTCCCACTCTCATTCCTACACTCACTCCCACTCCTATTCCCAAAAAGCCAAAGAAGAAAGTTTCATTGTTCTATCTTTAAAAACCACGAATTCCCATATAACTTTTCAATCCCCCCTTTTAACCCCTAACAACCCCCCTTTTCGCAATAAAAGTAGCCTATGTCCTTCCTCAGGGTTTAGACCGTCTGTATACCAAATTTCCTTCAAATCCGTTCAATAGTTTTGGCGTGAAAGAAGTTACAGACAGACAGAGTTACTTTCACATTTATAATATTAGTAAGGACTAGCCGTGTAGCTGTATTTGCAAACTTCTACATATTTCTAAATTTAAGCTGCCCACGACATCGCTCGTGTCCCGTCGCTCGGAACTCGTCGTTCCTGCAAGTCAATCTTAAAAGATAGCCATATTGTGTTGAGAACTTTTTTTTTAGATCGTTTAAAGAGGAATCATTTTTTCATACATATTTTTTAGGTATCTGGAACCGTTTTCGCAGCGTACGCATCTGAAGCCTACAGAGATGAAAAATTTCCCCCCGTTTTATTCACATTTCCCGCTGTGCCTTCGCTTCTATTAGTCATAGCCTACCTCGATTAATGCTCCAATCGATACAAAAATGATCTCAATTCGAACCAGTATTTCCTAAGATGAGTGCGTTCAAACAAACAAACTCTTCAGCTTTATATATTAGTATAGATAGATACCTAGTTACAACGGGGCGTAACTGAAGGCAGTGGTACATTTCCCCCTCCCTATTCATTCCACGAATGTCAACAGCTTATAAATGTGTAACCAGGTCAGTAGGGCGCAGAAAGAACCATCTAACGAGGTCTCCAGGCAATTGAGATTCCGTTTTCAAAGATGTTCACAGATAAACACGAAATCGGGTCATAGACGAATTAGTTAAATTGACGTTATTGCTTGGTTAAGGTCTTGTTACCAGGCCTTAATATTATAAAATAAAATAATAAATACTAAGACTAAATACTCCTTACTAAACCTTCTTCGTACTTTTAAAAGAAGTAAATAAATACTGTCTGTAGCTTACGCGAGTAGAACACATTTAAATAGAACACTTTAAAGGTTTAATGTACCTATATGTCGCGTTTTAAACCGTTGGTGTTTTAAGAAGCAAATAGTAGAATTAATTTAAAGTTTGACGGGCTAGTTGGTTTAATGCTAGCAATGTTTGGCTATTAATCAACGGGGTGTGGATTCGATCCCCACCGGGGGCAACGTGTTTTTTAATCAATAAACTGTTTTTACCAAAACATGTTGGCCTTCGCCTAATCGAAAAATTGAACGGGTAATACCGCGCGAGTCACGAACCACCGTCCACACATGAAAAAGCCGTGAAGTGTAATCTAACTCTGTAGTCTATAACCACATATAATGTTTAAATAAAACATTTAACAAAAAAAAAAAATTTTAAAAAATTTTTTTTAAATTTTTTTTTTTTTCGGCCCCCCGGTCGGTCTCCCCGTGACCACGACTGCTGCAAAGCATCCGAAACGTCGGGCCGAAGTTAAAAATCATTTTCAAATAAGTTTAACTAAATATCGCGTTTTAAACTGTTAAAGCGTTTTATTTAAATTGTACTACTCGGTAAACTATAGACTATAATGTAATAGTATGATATTTTTGTGATTGGTAACAGATAAGGTCTCGAATCCCAATGGGTTTGATGAGGAATTTATTTTAAATACCCCAGCCATATGGCATCTAATCAAGATAGAGAAATAAATCCACAGACTCCAACCGACACGCGATTAAGCTTCACGGCTTTTTCATCTGTGGACTGTATTCTTGAGTCGGACGGAATTCAAAAATACTGCTTACCAATTTAAAATCCACATATCCAGACGAAATCTAACATTTAAAAAAAATTAAAAACATGGACCCGGTGGGAATCAAACCTACGTCCCCGTTATAAAAATTTCCTTATAGCGGTTCAACGAATCGACTGTCTAATAAAACAAAATGGCCGCTGCAAATTGCTGATATAGAGCTCGTTGGGTTGGAAGGTTGAAATAGGTCAGCCGGCTTGCAGCGTCAGAGGTCGATCCTGGGCCACATCAATGCATGAGAAATAATTATTTATCTCGGCTTTAGCAAGGTTTTAGGTCGATGGCGTTTTGTGGCTTGGGTGTTTTTACCTTCTATCAAGTGAATCATCTTTGTCCTCTTCAGTTATAAAAAAATATTAACATATATAAATACTGTCTGTACTTAACGTGAGTAGTACACATTTAAATAAAACACTAACGGTTGAAAACCGCGATATGTATTAGTTAAATTTCTTTGAAAAATATTTTAACTACGAATAAGTACTTACATACTATGAATAAGTGTGGCAACTATTCTTTAATAGCTCTGCCTGCGACTTCGTCCGCGTAGAATGATTATTTTGGGCGTCAAAATTTTGTTTTTACAAAATCTTATCATCTTTATTGACTATAGCAGTTAGCCACGACGTCGGTCGCGTCCCGTCGTTCTTGCAAGTTAATTTTAAAACATAGACATACACTGTTGTGAACATTTTTGGGTATCTTGAACCGTTTTGCAGCCTACGCTTCGGAAACCCATAATAATGAAGAATTTTCCCATTTTTTTTACATTTCTCGCTGTATCTTCGCTTGTTTTAGTAACGGGGCGAGTTAACCTTTTCCTTCGATATACGTCTAACACAAAAAGAAGTTTTTAAATGGAACCAGTAGTTCTTGAGATTAGCGCGTTCAAACATACAAACAAACTCTTCAGCTTTATATATTAGTATAGATAGACTAATGTAATTTCAGATGGACATTTACCTCCAAACAGCAAGTCCAATTGTGGCGGAGGTCCTCAAAGGCTACAATGGCACAATATTCGCGTATGGGCAGACGGGAACCGGAAAGACCTATACAATGGCTGGGAGTAATTCTGCGCCTGAGTTGAGAGGGATCATACCGAACTCTTTCGCTCATATCTTCAGTCACATAGCGAAAGCTAAGGATGATGAGAAGTAAGAATTGAATAATCTACTGGCGCTTAAATTAAACCACTTTAACGGTTTAAAACGCAATATGTAATAGTTAAACTTATTTGATTGATTTATTTAGTAACAGCTTTATTATTGATAATACATACCACACAAAACTACAAAGGTAAAAAAACTTACGTACTAACATTTAAATAAAAGTAGGCCTTATCGCTAAGCAGCGATCTCTTCCAGACAACCTGAAGTTTAAGTACGTCACAATAATTTAATAATAATTTATACATCGTTTTTCAAGCCATTAAATTGTTTTATTTAAATGTATACTACTGACGTAAACTACAAAAGTATTTTGAAAATAAGTTTAACGAAAAATATTTCGCGTTTAAAGCCGTTAAACCGTGAATTATTCTCCTAGATTTTTGGTATGCGTGACATATCTGGAGATTTACAATGAGGAGGTTCGCGATTTGCTCGGAAACAACCCCCACCAGAGTTTGGAGGTGAAGGAGAGGCCCGACATAGGAGTGTTTGTCAAGGATCTCACTGGTAAGCAATGTTTATTTTTAAATAAAACGCGAAATATTTTAGTTAACTTACTAACTTGTTTATTTTAACTACGGCCCAAATTCCCAAAAATCTAAGCCAAATCGAATCACACCAGACCTCACTTTGACATTAGGGGAAACCATCCCGCCATCTTCAGTCTCTCCGTGACCACGGCTGTTGCAAAGCATCCGAAAACATCGGGTGTAAACTGTAAATAGGTTAACTCGTATGTATCGTATTTTAAACCGTTGATACTGTTTTATTTAAATGTAAATTACAGACAATACCATAATGTTTATTCTGTGTCTATTTTACTCATTGGTTTTTTTTTAGTCGGTTATTGTTTTGTGCCCTGCTCGACCGAAAGTATTAACTCAACTATACCTACATATATATTACATACATTGCTATACTAAAAAGTATGTAACACAATGAAAATATATTCCCGGGATTCGAATACATCTACAGCGGCCGTGGTCACGGGTGACTGAGACTGTAAAGCATCCAGAACGTCGGGCCATAGTTAAAAATAATTTGTAAACAACTTCAACTAATATAATTCGCGTTTTAAACAGTTAAAAGGTTTTATTTAAATGTATGCGCGTAAACTAGAGACAGTGTTGGATATCTTTCAGGTTACGTGGTCCACAACGCTGATGAATTAGAAAAGATTATGGCAGTAGGCAACAAGAACCGCCATATTGGTGCGACTGCGATGAACATAGAGAGCTCTCGCTCGCACGCCATATTCTCTATCACTGTCGAAAGCAGTAAGAAGGGGGAGGACGGCAAGATGCACGTGAAGATGGGGAAACTGCACCTTGTTGACTTGGCGGTACGGTTCATTTTACATTGATTTATGACATAGTATTCATACATTCAAGCTCACTTGATGGAAAGAAATACCCCAGTCATATTACATCTAACGAAATACGCTGTCGACCTTTTTTGTGATAAAGAAGGTCAGACAAGCATTTAAACAAGATGCACTGTCGATCTAGGTTGACTTCGTATATTTGGAAATCCAGACTGCATCAGAAACGCGAATAGAATTCAAGAAGTTTTCATTTGTGGACTGTGATTTTCAGAATTACGATATTCCTACCACCACAATAAGATAATAATAATAATAATAATATTCAGACGAAGTCCGACATGTTTAAAAAAAATAAAAAAATAGATAATGTTGGACCCGGTTGTCGAACCGACAACCCATGAATTGCTACTATTACACCAATGAGACCGTCGGAGTTGGAATTCTTTCGAATGTCCATAGCCAAATAATCCACAGACTGAAATCGTGAATACATTTTTATTATATATTAAAAAATACTTTTTACATATTTATTTATGAAACCCAATATTCGTGATGTATAAATCCTTCCTCGATAAATGGCATATCAAACGCAATTTCAAATCAAACCAGTAGTTCCTATAGCGCGTTCAAACATACTCACGCTTTAGCTTTTTTAATATTGGTATAAATAATTCGTAATATTTGTAATTAATGTATTCCGCTTAAGTCACTGTTATTTTAAAATATTAAATTGTATCAGCGCTGCCAGCGTTGCCTTTAAGGAGCCGTAACGTTGACGCATGCCCTTCTGCATCCGTTTTGGCAATTTAATCTTTGTATATACATTACTACTAATCAATGCACTAAAAAGTCATTTTCTATTTCTTTTCTCCTGTTCTTCATGTTGCCTCGAAGAGATCGCTACTTAGCGATAAGGCCGCCTTTTATTTGTAAGTTGGACTTACGTAAGATTTCCTGTATGTGTTTTGTAAATAATAAAACTATAATAGAATCAATAAAGCCAAATAAAGCAATTTATAATTATTATAGTGAAATTATGATATTCCAGGGTTCTGAGAGACAGAGCAAGACACAAGCGACCGGAACTAGGTTGAAAGAGGCGACGAAAATCAACCAATCCCTCTCAGTGTTGGGTAATGTTATATCAGCGCTGGTGGATGGGAAGTCTACCCACATTCCGTACAGGAACAGCAAACTCACAAGACTGCTCCAGGATTCCTTGGGAGGCAACTCCAAGACTGTCATGGTGAGATCCCCGTCAAGCTATAAAAATTTAAATTAATACACTAACGATTTAAAACGCGATGTAGATTAGTAAAACTTATTTGAAAATTATTTTAATTCCGGCCCGACGTTTCGGACGCTTTGCAGCCGTGGTCACGCAGAGACTAAAGATGGAGGGTGTCTCTGATGCCGAAGTAAAAACGGCTACGTTAGCGCCATCTGTTCCCTCGTAGTTGGTATTTGGTGAGAGTGACCTTGCGATATTGCTAACGGTGTCTTCGCGTTTTAAACCGTTAAAATGTTTTACTATTGTACTATTCGCGTGAACCACAGACAATATTTAACCTAGCTCTTCTTGTGCTCCCACAATGCTCCAGTGTGGATTAATAGGCTTTAACAACCACTAACCCGCTTATTAGTAACAACGTTGAATGGGCTATTTGATCGCAAACCTTATCCTTACAAATAATAACTGTTATCTACGTCGACTTTACCGTCCCGTCGTTCGTCGATAGATAGGCGTGAACCGCAGTGTACGCTATACTCAATAAAGATATTATGTAAGTTAGCGAGAGCGAATTTTTATGTTCAAATACCTAGGTAGACGAAGTCGCGGGCACAGCTAGTGTTAAAAAGACCTTTTTGTCTTCAGATAGCGACAATAGGACCGTCAGACACGAACTACGTTGAAACGATAAGTACGCTCCGTTACGCGAACAGAGCGAAGAATATCGAGAACAAGACTCACGTGAACAACGAACCTGGAGACGCGTTGCTTACACGGTGAGTTGAATCTGCGCGTGCGACTGTTTAGAACAGTAATTACATTAATAATATTGTTAAGTATTGGACATTGGACCTTACTACCTACGTGTTAGGGTTGAAAATAGAATTTAAGTGGCGCACTTAGAAGGGAGTCGGTAGCTCAATTGGTAGAGCGATGGTTCGTGATGCTGTCGTAGATTCGAATACCGCCTTTTAATATTTTAAGCCTAATAAATTTAAATGTATGTCAGCTGTGATGTGATTGATATAAAATGTATGTGTCTATAAGTAAGTGAAAGCCCGTTTCCCCCTCGTGGGACATGGGCCGAACGCATTTCTGTGTCAGACTCACTGATCAGTTTTATTTACAGACAAGTAGTTGATCGGACTTTTGTGCGCTGACCGACCGAAACAATTTTTGTGTCCCGGGATTCGAACCTAGGTCCTCTCGCGCAATGTTTATCCATTTGGCTACAGAGGTGGTCAGGTACCGCTAATAGCAAGCACTAAGAATAGTTTAAAACGATGTATGTACCCCGCGAAAATAATATAAGCCTATATGTCGTAGCAAGATATATTTTATTAAAAAATCAATTTTAATACGAAGTCAAATAATAGTACCTTCACTTTCAGATTCCAACAAGAAATCGATCAACTTAAGAAGCAACTGGAAGAATCAGCTATTGGTAAATTATATCGTTACGTTTATCTATACTAATATTATGAAGCTGAAGCGTATGTTTGAACGCGCCAATCTCAGAAACTACTGGTTCTCTATTCTGGACTATTTCTCGAGAAAAGCCTTGGACTGCGACCAACGGAAGCGAAGGAACCGTGGGGAATGTGAAAACGGGGGAAAATTATTAATATATGAGGGTTAACTTATTACAACAAAAATATGTGTGAAATAATTATTCTTCTTCTTCTTCTTTTGTTTTAACTTATCTCGTTAGAAGTGATCACTTTGAAAATTATGTTTGTGAATCGCCTTATTATTTATTCGAGTGTAATTTAAGCTAGAATACGTAATTAAAATTGAAGTATTAATTATTAATTTGTAGATGTGGAAGGAGAGGGCGAAGAAGAACTATCCGAAGATACAGAAGACACCCTGACCGATCCGGAGCTCGATGTACTGGATCCAGAAGAGAAGAAGATCAAACGGAAGCTTAGGAGAGAAGAGAAGGTTTGTTATACGTGTAATTTCGGGTAGAAAAGCTATAGAGTTAGTGTGTTTGTTTGAACACGCTAATATCCGGAACTACTGGTTCGAATCGGAAAATTATTTGTGTTAGTTAAAACATTTATCGAAAAAGGCATTAGGCTATAAAACATCACGATGCGACCAATAGTAGCGACGAAACAGCAGGGAATTTAGAAAAAAAGGGGGGGGGGAATATTGATCGTTGGGGGTTTCTGTTGCGTGCGTTGCTAAAACTGCTCAAGATACGTAAAAAATATGTTTGAAAGAATAATTCATTTAAAAAAAATATGTCAAGTTGCAAGAACCGACGGTTCGCGGACGAAGTCGCTGGCACAGCTTGATTACCATACACCAAAATATTATATGTACATTAAAAATATAGATTTGACCTGTCTGTATATTAAAAAAATATCTACAATACAATGTATGCTAAATTATTAACGGTTTATATTTAAGTCCGTATCTGTGACTCCGCTAATATCTCATTTTTTCTCTTTAACAGGAAAAAGCAAAGAAGGAGATGGCGCATCAAGCGCGTAGAGTTCTCGAGGAAAAGAAAGCGGAACTACAAAGGACTAAGTATGCTTTTATTAGATGTCTAAAATCATTCTAGACCTTATTTACTACCAAAGCTTAGCGATAAAATAGTTAAACTTCTCACAGTCTCCCCGTGACCACGGCTGCTGCAAAGCATCCGAAACGTCGAGGCCGAAGTTAAAAATCATTTTCAAATAAGTTTACCTAATCTATCGCGTTTTAAACCGTTAAAGCGCTTTATTTAAAAGTATATTCAACTACATACTTTAAATAGAATTTGATTAGTTAAACGGAATGTACCTCTAGCCCCCACATTGGGTAACTAGATTGCATCTTTTAAATGAAACCACTTCAACGGCTTAAAACGCGTTGTACGGCCCATTTCGGATGCTCAGCAGCAGATGTGGTCGCGGGGAGTCTCGCAGTGACCACGGCTATCGTGTTTTAAGCCGTTAATTGTTTTATTTAAATATGTACTACCCGCGTACACTACAGACATTGTTTAGTTTGCATCTTCTACAGGAATTATTTTTTCTTGATCCCTTAAAATAAATATATATTTTTTTATTGTTCGTAATTCTTAAGACACGGATTGTAACATGTTTTTTTTTATTCAGAAAACAACAAGAAGAACTAAAAGACAAGTTACAACGCCTGGAGTCCAAGGTTTTGGTGGGTGGCGAGAACCTTCTAGACAAAGCTGATACTCAACGCAAACTATTGGAACAGGCTTCTAAGGAGTTGGAGCAGAGGAAACTAATCGAACTTCGCTTGCAAGAAGACTTACAGAAGAAGGAGGTAATTGCTAATGTTTATAATATATGCAAGTCAGAATTTTTCACTCTAAACATTGTTTGTAATGTATACGAAATAAATTAACATATTTCGCTTTTAAATTTAAAACGGTTTAAAACGCGATCTATATTAATTAAATTTATTTAATTACGGTTAAAGGAGCATACAGGCAACTACAAAGTCTGTATAACTGTTAAGGTGGAATTGGGGAAATGGTTAGCAAATGGTGTGGATTGACCTCCCGATAATAAGTTAAATATATTTTAAGTTTCAAGCAGTTGAAGTTATGTTATTTAAAATTACATTGCTATTGAAAAAATATACCGAGCTGGATTCGAACCGACGAGACAGATGGGGTGGCTGTTTGATATATCAACTTAGCTTACCTATTTATAGTCCATTTTTTGTTGAGAAAAAACCAACAACAAATAAGGCCGATTACAAACCATACAGACCCGGTGATAACCTTTTTATAGTGAAGTTAATGCCACAGATAAAGAAACATCTATTTTAGACCTTTGACGTAAAGTATTTAATAATGATATCAATCCTATATAGGCGGAACGATTGGACCTAGAAGAACGTTACTCCAGCCTGCAAGAAGAGAACGCAGCCAAGACACGTAAGCTGAAACGCGCAGTTCAACTCCTGAATTCGGCTAAGGCAGAGTTGGCAGATCAACAAAGGGAACAGCAGCGCGAGATGGAAGGAATCCTGGATGGCATAAGAGCGCTAAAGAGGGAATTGCAGTTGGCCGATCTCGTTCTTGACTCGTACATTCCGAAAGAGTACCAGGTACGCACCACATTTGGAAGTCAAAGTCGAAAAGATTTCGCGGAGGTAACTAGGTACACGTCGGCGCATGAGCGCCAGATCATTATGAGATTATCACCGAGTTCATTTTAATGAAAAATGGACACAGACAGCTGTTTTTACATGATATCATGATAAATATCACCTATCTCGTTTAAATTTAGTTTCTGACTTCTAAAATAATTTCTTGCAGGCCCTGATCGACCAATACGTCCACTGGAACGAACAGCTTGGCGAATGGCAAGTCAAGTGCGTCGCTTACACCGGGAACAACATGGCGCCTCATCTCACTCACACCGAGAAACGTCACTCACATGTAAGTATAAAAAATTGTTTTATTTAACTATTTTTTCTTGTGAGTCTTATATAAAACTTAGCATGTAAGAACTTAGTATGTAGTCGATGTCAATTGTCATCACATTTATTTTTACTACGTCTAATTATTGTACAAAATGAATGCTAAATAAAGAGATTTATTATTATTATTATAATTGAGGCTGCTAGAGGCATAGTGGCCTAATAACCAAAAACATGATTTTCAAAAATGAGGAAAATAACAATTAAGTTAGGCCAAAATGAATTTGTACTTTTATATGTGTATGAATTCTTAAGAATCTTTCGGTCACCTTTTTAGACTATAAAAATATAAGGTATATATAGGTCAAGTCATAAAAATGCCGTTAGGCTACTCTGCCTCTAGTATGGATTTCCGAAGATCCAATGCTACAATAGGCCGACAGCGCCTCCTTTTTAGATGTTATATGGCATGGCTGTGGTGACACAGTTAAGTGAAGAGTTGTACCCTAAACTTGATAATTTTATTTTTACGCCAAAATTTGCGTTAAGTTAAAGAATATAGTTGCTACGTAAGTTAAAAATCAACTATAGATTAAAAAAATATATATTTTAGACTATAGTTACATTTGTCTATTGCCTATAGTTTACGCGAGTAGTACACATTTAAATTAAACACTAACGGTTTAAAACGCGATATATTAGTTAAACTTATTCGAAAATTAGTTAACTTCAAATAAGTTTAACTAATATATCGCGTTTTAAACCGTTGAAGTGTTTTCTTTAAATGTGTTTATGTTTTTTTTTGTACTGACTGTGCCCACATCTAATACCAACATTATCATGTTCCAGCAGATTGAACCACCAGATCTCACCGACCGCTTCCTGTCGTACTCGGCGGTGTCTCGTGGTAGCACCAGACTGGCGCGCCCTCTATCGGCCGTGCCGCGGCCCCACACTGCACTGAGGCAACGACACTAGCTATTTGAAGTACGATCAACGTCGACTCAGACCGGTCATGTGTGAGCTTGACTCGCGGAGTGTATGGCTATTGTATGGTTAAATCTTAACCTGTACTGTAATGAAAATATTGTAAAGCCGAAGAGCTTTGTTTCAACGCGCTCATCTCGGGACCTAGTGAAATCCAGTTTCCCCTCGTGGGGCTTGGGGCGAACACATTTCAGTGTTCGTTTCACTGATTCGGTTTTTGTATACATGCAAGTAGTTTAAATAAAACACTAACTGTTTAAAACGCGATATATTAGTAAAATTAATATATCGCGTTTCAAACCGTTAGTGTTTTATTTAAATGTGTACTGCTCGCATAAACTATAGACAGTATTTATTGTTTCTCCGGGACTCGAACCCGACTCAACGCAACGCTAGGCATCATGCTCAACCATTTAGCCACAGAGGCGGTCCCATCTCAGAAACTACAGGTTCGAATTGATTTTTTTGTGTTGGTCTGAGCTTTTATCGAGGAAGGCTAACATCAGGCGAAGAACAACTTTTCGGCTTTTTAATATTAATATAGAGTATATCTATAACCAAATGTTTTTGTTAACTCAGAGAAAGAGTTCTTTCGCGTAAATTACTCAGCAGATTATAATGAAAATTTGCAAATATGCTCACAACCTTCTTAGTCACATTGTATTAAAGCAGTTAGAGCATTTATCGAGTAAGGCTTTATAAAAGATCACGCTGCGAATAATAGGAGCGTAGACGCAGAGGAAAATGTGGAAAAACGGAAAAATTATTAACAAAAATGAACAATTAATTTACAATGCAAAAAATACCTTTTTGTTTTGATATCAAAAACTAGTTGGCACTTGCTACAAAATAATTTATATTGTAAAAGAGTACAATATTTAAACTGTTCAAAACGCGAAATATTACTCTTATTACAATTAATTTATCTACGGCTCGATGTTTCGGACTGCTTTGCAGCAGCTGTGATCACTAAGTTAATTAATATCTTTCGCGTTATAAACCGTTTAAAGTATTTTATTACTATACTCGCTTTAACTGCAGACAGTTTGTTTAAAAACGTTATAACTTTGTAATTTCATCTTCAATTATTTTCTTAAGCGTTAAGTTAAACTTTTTAAAGCATCTGAAACGTCGGGCCTAAGTTAAAAATAATTTTCAAATAAGTTTAACTAATATATATCGCGTTTTAAACCGTTAGTGTTTTCTTTAAATGTTTTTAACATTTTCTTTTAGTTTTATAAAGCTTGTGTTATCGTCGAATTTAATTCTTATTATTTTTTTATTTTATAGTTATTACGATACGAATCGAAAATGTAATATTGCTCAGTATTTGTTTTGTATTTTTTTTTGTTTTTTTTTTAGAAATATTATGCTATGACTGAAAATTATAATGTACCCGTCTCACTTATAAATGTTTTGCTATGTAGACAACCACTACGCTATGGTTTAATTGCTCTTAGAAAGGTGCTGGGTTCAGATGTAGAGAACCACTTTCGGTCGAACACGGCACAAAAGTAAATCCAATATTTTTTAAATATTTGTGTAAAAAGCCAATAAAAAATGTTAACAAGTAAGGTTTCACGCTACAAATTCACGCTCGTGGTACACATTTTTTTGAAGTCAATTTAGTTGACATGTGGAACTTACAAGCCCAGATCTTGGAGACACCGAGCACGATAGGATGGTTAGACCTTGATATGTCTCAAGGAGAAACAGGAGACAAAAGAAGATTAATTTTAAGATCTCATTTTAACTATGCTAGTCACATTCCTAAATTTTTATGTAACTCTTGAATTAACGTACTAAAATTGTATGTTACATACGAACTTATGTTTAATTAACTAACGCTATTAGACTCTAAGCTTCTTGTTAGTGGTGATTGGGAAAATTGGTACGAAAACCCAATTATTTTGCACGTTTTGTAATGTAACCAAACAGTATTTTAGTAATAAACGATTTGTGTGTACGTTGGTTTATATATTTCCCCCTTAAAAGGGGGGGTTCCCCTTTCCACCGAAATGTTTCTTCATAACGCTCTGGCCAAAATGTAGAAGTCAAAAATGGTTCACAATAGAAGGCAAAATGTGATAATTTACTAATATATAAAGCTGAAGAGTTTGTTTGTTTGAACGCGCTAATCTCTGGCACTGCGGGTTTGAATTGAAAAATTCCTTTGTGTTGGTTGAACATTTATCGATAAAGGCTATAAAACATCGCGCTATGACTAATAGAAGCGACGATACAGCGTAAAAGTGAACAAAACAGGGGAAATCTTTCATCTCTGTGGGTTAAGTTGCGTACGCTGCGAAAGCGGTTCGAGATAATTAAAAATGTGTGTGAAAGAATTATTCCTCTTGAAATGATCTACAAAAAAGTCCGCTATATGTCTATCTTTTAAGATTAGCTTGCAAGAACAACGGGAAGGGACGCGATCGACGTCGTGACTAACAGCTTAAGTTTATAAAGATGGTGGGGCTTGCAAAATCAATTTTGGATACACAAGAAAAAGCGATTCTCGCGGACGGAGTCGCTGGCACAGCTAGTATATTATATTGAAATAAAACTTTAAAATTAGTTAAACTTATTTGAAATTGATTTTTAACTTTGGCCCGACGTTTCGGTTGCTTTCCGGTCATGGGGAGATTAAAGTGTTTTATTTAAATGTGTATAGTAGTTGTAACGGATGGCTAATAATCACCATGTTTCTAATCAATAAATATATTTTCTGACGCATGTTGGATGTGAACACCGTCCGAGTCACGAAACACCGTATTGAGATAGAAAAGCCGTGAATTGGTGTCGATTTCTGTCTGGATTTCCGAATATCCAACGCCAAAATGGATCAATACCGCATTTTGTTGAGATGTTATGTCACTTACCATCAAGTGAATTTTACCAAAACTCGGCTCCCTTATCGTTTTTAATAAATCAATCCGGCTCAAAGGACCAAATTATCATTAAAGGTAAAATATATGTCCCTATTGTCGCGCTCATCTATTTGTTGTGCGCTGCCGATCTATTTCACCTTGGCAGATATTGACATAATAATGTAATTTAATATTTCACGGCCATGTAGATTGGTTTGCGCTTGAACTAAATTCTTTGTGTAGAATATTGAAAATGTCTCTGTTAAAAGCGATTTTGAGAGCACAGTCTAGGAGCGAGGGGAATTATCCTTCGCCACCGCCGGAAGTTTCGATGGTAACGCGCAAGAAGAAAAAGGGGAGAACCGTAAGTGTAAATTCATCAATTTTTTTGCATGACAGCACTTGATAAAAGGTGAAGCCAGCCATATAACATTTTCCGTCAACTTGTTGTGGTTTTAGATATTTCCAAATCCACAGACTGAAACTGAAGTGCGATTAAAATCCACGGCTTTTTCATCCGTACTTTTGACTGTTATGTACTCGTATGTGTGAGTTATTATTGTGTTAACATGTTTAAAATGATTCTATATTATTTAGGAAGACCAACGGCATGAAATTATAAGTAAAGTCGATTGCGGACCTCCGCTATACGACCCGCAAAGGTTAACCCGGAAAATGCCTGGATTCGTAAATGACGTCTGTCATTTGTACTATGACAATTTGTCTATGGTCATTGCTCTACAGAAGGCACGTATTAAGGTAAATATTTTCACCCGAAGACAGCGAAGTAAAGATGCCAAGTGCGAGTTGAAACTAGCCCGAACGTTCCATACACAAATGAAACTTATAGAGCCAGAGTGGCCTTATAACAAAAAACACGATTCTCAATAAGGAGGAAAATAAAAATGCGCAACTAACTTAGGCGAAAATGAATTTGTACTATTATTTGTGTAAGGATTATGTTAACAATTTTCGGTCACTGCGCTCTTGTAGAACATTTAGAGACTTTGAAAATATAATAAAAGTACTTATGTACAATAAAAGGTAAAACATAAACAAAAAAGGAAAAAAAAATGGTTTAATTTTATACTGTCTATAGTTTACGCGAGCAGTACACATTTAAATAAAACACTTTAACGGTTTCAAACGCGATATATTAGTTAAACTTGTTTGAAAATGATTTTTAACTTCGGCCCGACGTTTCGGATGCTTTGCAGCAGCCGTGGTCACGGCAGCACGGTGGACCACGGCTGCTGTCGCACGTCGGGCCGAAGCTCGCGTAACGTGTTTTATTTAAATTTGTCTTAATTTTTATAAACTCAATCTCGTTTTCTCTCATTAGAGACCCTATTGGGTAGACACATTTTTATATCCGTTTTACTAATCCATTATTTCAAGTAGGTGATCAGGGTAAAATCAGTTTCAACTATATTTTCCAGAGATTCGAACTTAGAACCTACCCTCACTAAACGCAATTAGGACTTTGCGGTAAAGTTATTATTATAGTGAGCCATACAGCATTAAATGTTTATAAATAAAGTAAAAAATCTTCTTTCGTTATATCTAACACTTTGCAGGGTAAAATCGACACCCACTGGAACAAACTACCTCCTCGTAGTTTGCTATATTATGACCAAAGACTTAACGCGTACAAACGAATTCGTAGGGAGAACAAGCAGATACACAGAAGAATTCTAAGTGCGGTAAGGTTGTTGTAAATACTTTGTGCTAAGCGTGTATAAGAGCCTTTATTTGTTGTAAGCTGATGACTTTGTTTGTTTGTTTGAACGCGCTAATCTCAGGAACAACGGGTTCGTATTGAAAAAATATTTTTGTGTTGGTTAGAGCATATATAGAGGTAGGCTATCGGCTATATAATCATTGCCCTGTGACTAATACAAGCGAAGATATCGCGAGAAATGTTAAAAATGAGGTAAAATTATGTATATAGGTATGTATCAAAGAACGATTCCTCTTTGAATGAACTAAAAAGGATGTCTATCTTTTAACATTAACTTGTTAAAACGACGCAAAGGGACGCGACCGACGTCGTGGGTAACAGCTAAGTTTATAAAGGTGAGGGGTTTGAGAAACGAATTCAGATGGCCAAAATAAAAATTCTTAGCGGACGAAGTCGCTAAAACAGCTAGTGAAATTCAAATTCAAAGCTTTTTATTTTTTTACAATATCCTTATAACTTCCAAAGTAGAGAATTCATAATATCATCACAAATAGATAAATCTATACTCATATAATCTAAACTTCTTTTGAATTAGTTTTAACTACGGCCCCACGTTTCGGATTGCTAAGCAGCCGTGGTCACGGGAAAATAATTTTCTAATAAATAGTATATTTCGCGTTTTAAACAGTTAAAATGTTTTATTTATATACTAGCTGACCTGGCAAACATTGTTTTGCGGAGAGGAAAAATGATTAAATTACTAAAATGGCTATTAAAAAAATAAGGGTTGATCGTAGAAGGGTGAAAATTGAGCATTGTATGTATTTTTGTATTTTGTATATTAAAAAAATAGAAATAAAAAAAAAATAGGGGTGGACTAACATTTAGGGGGATGAAAATTATATGTTGGCCGATTCTCATAGATACCGGATAAGCACAAAAGATTTTATCAAAATCGGCCAAGCCGTTTCGGAGGAGTTCAAGTTCGAACACCGTGACACGAGAATTTTATATATAAGATGTACTCTCGTAAAACATACAGTATTCAGTTTTGTACAGCCATGTAGTAATAATAATATCCTGTCATTTACAGGTTTATATTTAAGGATTCATCTTTCTTTCAGAGACCGCGTTTACACAGAGCTTCGTCTTTGGATCGCGTTTGGCGCTCCAATAAGTTATCAATCATGCATTCAGCGCAGAGGAAGTTCATATTATTTCCACTTAAAACTGAGGAGATGATAGAAGACCCTGCGTTTGTTACCCCTGATGGAGTAAAACGCGTCAGGTATCACACATTCACACTTATTGAAGACCAGCTGACCTGGCAAACGTTCTTTTTCCATATTAAGTACTAGCTGAGTCACCGACTCCGACCGCGTAGAATAGCTATTTTGGGCGTTCAAATTTATTTTTGCAAAACTCCTAATCCATCTTTATAAATTTTTCTTTTAAGCTTCTACCGATGTCGTATCGATCGCGCACCGTCGCTGGCGAACCGTCGCACACGTCTCGTCGTTTTTGCAATTTCGTCTTAAAAGATAGACATATACGGCCTTAAATACTGTCTATAGCTTACGTACATATAAAAATAAAACACTAACGGTTTAAAACGCGATATATTAGTTAAAATTATTTGAAAATTATTTTTAACTTAGTCTCCCCGTGACCACGGCTGCTGCAAAGCATCCCAAACGTCGGGCTGGAGTTAAAAATGATTTTCAAATGATTTTAACTAATATATCGCGGTTTAAAGCGTTAAAGTGTTTTATTTAAATTCATATTTTGCATACGATGGCATATATTAAAAATCGATTTTAAATGTTAAAATAATTCGACACGGGCAGGACTCAAACTGGCATCACTGCGTTCCGTGCTCTAACCAAAAACGTACAAACAATCTAAAATCGATTTTTAATTTAATATTTTGCGCTACACACCTAGTGTGGCGGTATTTTTTGAACTTAGTACCTCCCACTAAGTAACTGAAAGTTACCTTTCAGAGTCTACTTAACTCTTCAAATCCGCAACGCAGCAGAAATGGGCTGCATATCTATAGAATTGTTCACAGAAATATGTCCGCAAACTTGCGCCCTATTCCTGGATCTGCTAGATGGCGACGGCGTTGGTTACGGATATGTCGGCACTAGATTCTTCAGGTAATATATACATATAATATACTACCTGTGCCCGCAGCTTCGTCCGCGTGTAATAGTTACTTTGGGCGTCGAAATTTGTTTGTGCAAACCTCTATAGATTATAGCCGTTACACGACACATCCCCGTCCCGTCGTTCATGCGAGTAAATCTTAGATAGACATATACAGTCGCAGACATTTTTTAGATCATTTAAAAAGAAAACTTTTCGCATCGCACGGAACGAAAGCTCTCAAAGATGAATTATATTCCCCACTTTCTCCACATCTCCCTCTGTTTCTTAACACAACATATTTCATTTTAAACGAGTAGTTCCTGATGTTAGCGCGTACACTTTTCAATATTAACAATTTCAAATAATATTAAACGTCATTAATTTGAAAACTTTAATATTTTTCACATTTTATTACATATATTGCATATGATGACACTATAGATATTAAAAATCTATCTACATTGAAAAAAAAAATGGCGACACAAAGATATATTTTACAAGATATCGGAAAAAGTATTAAATATTATTAGTTATGTCTAGAGTTAACGCGAGTACACATTTAAATAAAACACTTTGTAACGGTTTAAAAGACAAAATGTATTAGCTTACATTTAGATTAATGTATCAGTATTGTAAAGAAGTAGTAGGCTTTGATTGGTTTGCAACAACCAAGGCTACGTTGTGACTGAAGATGGGGATGTGCCTAGTGGCACCTGTTTCCCCGTAGTTGGTATTTTAAGAAACGTTAAACTAATTCAATTTGCGTTTTAAACCGTTTTTAATTATGTGTTTAATCAGGCTTCGTTATATAACCCGATGACACTTTGTCCGCCTTTAATCTACAAAATTACTACGATGTTCTAGAAATGGGACTATAATGGGTCAAAAGAAATTAATGTACGCCCTCCTTTTTGTTCTTAAACGTCACCATAAAGACAACGTCAAAATGTGTTAATATTATGTTCAAGTTAATCTGGTTTTTGATAGCTTTTTTCACGAGCATATTCCTTTTTTTACTGTTAATTCTGATAAAAGTGATCGATTTGGACGAAGTCAGCCCGGATGCTGGTATCGGAGTCAAGTTTAAATGGAAGTACTGACATCTTTGTCAAAATCGTCAGCCCAGAGGGCCAGGTCTTCACCGCTTATTTCGCCGAGGACACCCTGATTGAGGAACTGAAGAACAGATCTATGGACTTCTTCTATCCAAATGGCGAGAACAGTTCCAGCAGGTTCAAAATAGTACGAGTATCAGACACGGCGACGTTACATGACTTCTTAACGCTATCACAGGAACAGGTAGCCATGTACGACGAGCTGCTGTTGATAGAACGAAGGACACCAGAAGCTGGAACGCTTTGGGACCTAGGAGCTGTCAGGGCCCCACAACCCAGCGCTATAGCGGCCGCCACAGCATCCCTACCGAGTCCTCAGAACCCAATGCGACAACCTAACCTTCAATCACTTCTATCCACAAACGAGCTATCTTACGAGCTTAGAAAAATCCTGATATCGTTGATAGAAGCTGGTGCACGGTTAGCAGCAGCTGGAAGAAACTACGAGTTGACTTTAGCGCAACTGTCCGCCGCTTTGGACGAGCCTCAACGCAATCAGCAGTTCACTGTCCAGGTTATAACCCCAGAGGAGATCGCAGCCAGGTTTAACTCCGCGGAAGATGGTAATACATCAATGGCTTCCAACAGCGATGAGACGTATCGACGCGCGGAACACTTACAAATGTTCCTAGAGAAGTTCCGCGCATGGAGGATGAAGATTATGGACCCACCTAACCCAGAATCACTATTGGCGTTAAAGAACCTTGGGTTTTCCCTGGAAGATGCGGAGACGGCGCTGCGTTACACAGGGAGTAATGTACCCGCTGCTGCGTCTTGGTTGATAGGGGAGAGAGGGTCTAGTGTCTTCGAGCTGATAAATGGTTTACCTGATGGGCATATCCTGCAGACGTTATTGAAGCAGCCTCAGATTCAACGCGGTCTTCTCAACACGAGGATGTTGATAGCATTTATAGCCATGGTGGGGCAGACAGGCAGCGCGTCGTTATGGCTTAACTCCCCCCATGGAAATCCTTTGCTGTCCCAAATTTCCAGGACGTACCATTCGGAGAAATATTGCCTGGCTGTGAACCAGTTTTCGGAGGAAAAGCGAGAGACACCCTCGACTTCGCGGCAGCGATAGTCTCGTATTGTTTCATGTCACAATAAAGATGTTTATGTGTACTGTGTTGTTTACATATTAAATTAGAACTTTAGATTTTTTATGATAGAGAAAAGCAGACAAACGTTGTGTTCACATGATTGAAGGTGAAGTATCTTAGCCATAACATTATGCGCTGCGCTTTTTTGGCCTATAATATTCGGAAATATAATAAACAGTTTGACATGTATCGGATTTTTTGACATGTCAAAATAGTGCACCGTCCTATTGTTATTTCTATTCTGTTATCGTCCTATTATATTTAAGTATTATAGAACTCGTTTGTTTTGATATTTAAAACTGTGCGTATTGGTATAACGCAATGTATTAATAAAATATAAGGTAATAAATACAGTCTGTAGTATACGCAAGTAGTACACATTTAAATAAAATACTTTAACGGGTTAAAACGCGAAATATTTAGTTAAACTAAATTACAAATTATTTTAACTACGGTGCGACGTTTTGGATCTTTTGCAGTAGCGGTCACGGGGGACGAGTTGAAGTAATAAATTGCCCGTAACGTGTTTTAATTAAATGTGTACCTACTACACGCGTATACTACAGACTGTTAACGGGTCAGGTCAACTATCAGGAACACGGTGAGACGTACCGTTATAGTACATTATGATATAAGTGCGGTAAGTTGAAAAGTACAGCCGAGGCGATATTACTAGCCCGAGCCACCGGCGAGGGCTATAAGAAAGCATAGGCACGTATGTCATACGACGTTTTATAACATATTTACGAGGAAATTAATAATTTCATCACTACTTGACGACATTTTCAAATAAAAACAATACAGCGAAAAGAAAAAGCGCGCGGAATTATTTTTACTTGTCCACAAATAAGCGATGCGCGCGCATCAACTTTTTTTTAGGCAAAGGTACAAAAACAGCCAGTATTACTAATAAAGTAAATTAATATTTTTGTGTTTTTGTTATAGATAAATGGTTGTAATTTATTGTTAAAATTAATTAAATTAAAGAATTAAATGTTTATTTGTTATATTTTATTTTCAAAGTTAATTTTATTCATAAAATATTGACCACTTTCTTGACATAAAACCTCTTTGCTAACATTTTTAAAAGTATCGTTCATTTTTAGACGGAGTAGCTTAAAAGTTTTAATTTTATATTACATTATCGCACAAGTACGTAATGAGATACATTACGATATTGAAATTAGTGTAATTACAACCACTTTACGAGCAAATATGTTATAAAACTGATTTATTTAAAAGAAACATAAGGATTTAAACTGGTTACAAACATTTTAAACAGAAAAGTCCCGAATTTATTTTGGAGCGGAGGCGACGTGGTACATAACAATGGATTCGGTTGCTATGCACAACGGGGCAGGCGAAAACCAATTGGGGCAGAGAACTACCACTTCTCACATTCTATGCCAGGTAAGAAGACATTTTAGTAGCTGTGTTATTAAAGGAAACTTTTACGATAGAGATAAGATTACTTGATCGATAGAAGGTAAAGTACCCAAGTTATAGGGCATCTAAATAAGATGCACTGTTGATCTATTTTAGCTTTGGCGAAAACCTATAGACTGAAACTGAAATATCTAAACGACGCGGCTTATCTGTTGTGGATTTTGGATATTCCTAACACTTATAATTTAACTAGCTGTGCTCGCGACTTTGTCCGCGTAGAATAGTTATGTTAGGTATCTAATAATCTCGTTGTTGCGAGTTAATCTTAAAATATGTACTTATACTGTGGAATTATTTAAATAATAATGTTCCATTTTGACACAGCAATTCCTGAGATTAGCGCGTTCAAACAAAAAAACTCTTTAGTTATATTTTATTACTATAGATAAGACATAAATAACATTATACCTACTAATGTTATGTTATTTGAAAAAAAGCTTCTTTTTTACAAGACGGACATTTTGTGCAATGATTACGATATCTGTCCGTCCATATATGTACAGTGGTAGGTACTTCGTAGTTCATATTTACATGTTGTCCAGTATTGTGTCAAGTACAATTCCTAAGTTCGAAATCAGGGAAGACATAGTAAATTTCAGATACAGAAGTCTTGTCTGTAGTTTATGCGAGTAGACATTTAAATGAAACACTTTTAACGGTTTAATACGCGAAGTTTATTAGTTTAACTTATTTACAAATTATGTTAGTTTCGAATGCTTTGCTGCCGTCGTGGCCAAGGGACGACAAGTTCTAAATAAGTTTAACTAATACAATTCGCGTTTTAAACCGTTAAAAATGCTCTATTTAAATACGAGCTCAGCGAAATCCTGATACCTCTGATAGAAGCTGGCACACTTGCCTTATTAACTAATTGCCAAATACATATAAGTAAGATAGACATATAAATGTGTCTGTTTGTTTTAGGCTTATTGTCTATGCGAGTGACTCCGAACGACGAAATGTGTGGTATATTCAATATTACCTTCAAAGCACTTCCTCAATTCGATCTTCATAGCGTGGTATTCGGGAGAGTAAGTATACAAATTTTAACGGTTTAATACGCGAGAAGTATCATTTTATTTTTCAATAAGCAACGGCTTTGCAGTCGTGGTGGTAAGGCAGTTGGCTAATATAGATACTACGCGTTTTAACCCGTTTAAAATGTTTTATTTAATGTGTACAATTGCCGTCTACATACATAATACTCTTTGAATTATATTTTATGATTTGTTTTTTGATGACGTAAACATATATCTTAATAATGGTGGCAAACAGTATGACGGCGAGTTTTTGCCAGTTTTTCCTTAACTTAAAACTATAAAATAAAACACTTTTAACGGTTTAAAGCGAAATATATTAGTTAACTTATTTTAATTTAATTGAACTATAGCCCCATGTTTTCACGCCTCTGTAGCTAGATGGGTAAACGTGTTGCCTAGCAAGTAAGAGATCCTTTGAATCCCGGAGAAACGATAGATCGCTCAAAATATTGATCAACTACTTACCTGTAACGGAACCGACCGATTAAACGAGCACAGATGTGTGTTCGCCCCATGCCCCACAGGCGAAAACGCGACGACTGTTGCAAAGCATCCGTTACATCGGGTTTTAACCCGTTAAATGTTTTATTTAAATGTGAACTACTCGTGTAAACTACAAATAATACACCGACAATATGTGTTAGGTAAGTTAAATTACGGAAAAATTACGGATGGTACTTGCTCCGTTGACACGGTAGCTCAATTAGTTAGCACAACAGCAGGGCACGCTATGGATGCCGGGTCAAGTACCACCCTTGTCGTCAGTTGTTTTCAATCAAAATCGATATTTAATTTAACTGAATATAATATATGAACATCATTAGGTTTTATCCGTAGTTTACGAGAGTTGTAGACATTTAAATAAATCTCATTCTAACGGTTTAAAACACGATTTATACATTACGGATGCCTTGCAGCAAGATATGAAAAGTAGTAAACTTTTAAAATGCATCGAGTTACCTGCAAAAATAATGAATTTGATTTAAATAAAACACTTTAACGGTTTAAAACGCGATATATTAGTTAACTTAATTTTAATTTCATTGAACTATAGCCCCATGTTTACTAATATATCGCGTTTTAAACCGTTAAAGTGTTTTATTTAAATGTGTGCTACTCGCGTAAACTATAGACAGTATTTAATGAATTTGATTTTATATATTTATTTGCAACAGGTGATTCGACCTTGCGCGGCTTTTGAAAAGATGAGAACCCTTGGATCACCTCTCAGTCCCCAACCCATAGTAGAAATAGTTTCTACCAGACGGTTGGATGGTAGAAAGTGCATACATGGAGTCGGGAACACAAAACTTGCATCCATAAAGAATCAAATATTATGATTAAATTTGATTATATTAAAAGAAATAAAGTTAACGTCTTTTTTTTCATAATTCATTCAATGTAGGTAGTATGTAAAAGATTTTATTGCTTTCGGGTTTGTACGGTTAAAGTGGTTTTATTTGAATCCCGATTCCTTGCTTCCCGATTGTATGTACCTGTATTGTATACTAGTTGAGTCAGCGACTTTGTACGCATAGAATAATATTTTAGGTGTCGATTTTTCTTTCGCGTCCCGTCGTTCTTGCAAGTTAATCTCAAAAGAGAGACATATACGGCCTTATTACAAAAAAATACTTAAACCAGAATGTCGCAGACATTAAAGTCCATAAGAAGTTAAACCCCAAAGTATATAACACAATAAAAACGAATACAATAATTGTTATTTTTATAAATAAAACGACAAACACGTTCAAGCAATATATTTTATGTATGAAAAACTGTAATAACTTAATTTTGTAAATGGTTTGAAAATATAACACTTTTCTTACTAAATGTTTTGAAATGAAACAATTTTTAACGGTGTTAAAATTAGTACTTATTAACAATATATTTGACTTACGTTTTGAATGCCGCGATTCAGCGTATAAAACCGTTAAAAATGTTTTATTTAAATGTACTACCCGCGTAAGCTACACAATACTTTTTTCTATTGCTATAAGAGAGATACAAATTTAATTCATGATACATATAAACTAAAATTTTACATTATTTACCTACTAACAGGCTATTTTTATATAATTTATTAGACGAATGCGTGCCTAAAAAACGAGTCAAACAAAATGTATCCTATGAACAGTATCCACAATGGTTTACAAAGGAAATAATCGACAAAATTAGGTTAAAAGCTAGTCTTCATAAAAAATATAAAACCACTAAATTATCTAGTGACTACATTGATTTTTCCTCATGTCGTAAAATAGTAAAGGACATTAGGACCGCATATGAGGGTCATATTAGTCGAATTTAAGGACAATTTGTTAAGAATCCTACAATGTTTTGGCAGTATATAAAAGAAAGAAGAGGTTCTGGAAATAGGATTGCTATAACCGACAGCGAGGGAAAGCAACTGACCGGTGAAGAGTGCGCTGAAGAGTTTGCGCGTTACTTTAAGAGCGTTTACGCCACTCAGCAGACTCGTTTGGATGTTGAAACGGCAGGTACATACGGGAACAGCAGTGCACGGGTACAGCTGGACTCGCTTACTTTATCGGAGGTCAGAATAGGCTATCTCGTCTGAACCTAAACGTTCGGCGGGCCCGGATGGCATTCCAGTCTTTCTTTTCAAAGATTGCGCCAGAGTCCTTGCCAAGCCTCTGCACTGCATTTTTAACTCATGTTTACAGGCGCAGTTCAAGAGTTACACCTGTTCCGAAAGGTAAACAGAGTTCCGACGTAAGCAACTATAGGCCAGTGGCTGTGTTGTCGACAGCGGCGAAGGTTTTCGAGGCGACTATCCACCGTAGTTTGTATGAGCAAGTTTCGCCTCAATTATCTGATGCTCGAAGCATGGTTTTCATTCGGGTCGTGGGACGTCCACGAATTTGCTCAACCTCGTGAATTATTTATTTCCGACGGTTGATGCTGGGTCGCAAGTCGACGTCGTATATCTCGACTTTAGGAAGGCTTTCGACATTTTGGAAAATGACGTGGTGTTGCAAAAATTGGCACAGGTAGGATGCACTCCTGGACTTCTTCGCTTCTGGGCATCTTATATGAGTGATCGGCAGCAATATGTAGATTATGGGGGCCACCAATCGCAGCCATATTTTACCCGTTCTGGAATAAGTCAAGGTTCGAACCTTGGACCTTTTGAGTTTGTCGTCACGATAAATGATTTACCATCAGTCGTAGAGCATAGCAAGTGTTTACTGTACGCGGACGATTTGTAAGTGTTTCTACAGGTCAAAGACGTGGACGATTGCAGATGCTTACAAAGCGATATCCAAAAGATATACAGCTGGAGTCTGCAAAATAAACTGGAATTTAACTTTGAGAAGTTCTGTCGTTAGTTTTACTCGCGCCTGTAAATCTGTTAAATTCGATTATACCGTAGGGACCACCCGCATACGAAGAGAGACTCGAATCCGGGATCTAGGCGTCTTATTCACGAACGACGTAACGTTTCGTGAACACATTGTAAATATTTGCGAAAAGGCCTATAGAAACCTTGGTTTTGTCTTACGACAAACCAAGGACTACGAATATGGCTGCGGTGCGGATACTATATGACGCATTGGTGCGTAGCCATTTAGATTTTAACTCCTCTATTTGGGCCCCGGCCGAAGAAAAATACAAAGCAATGCTGGAACGCATCCAAAATAAATTTGTTAGGCATTTGTACCATAACATGTATGGAGTATATCCATTTTTCCTTTAATGTATCCGACTCTTTTTGTATTAGGCATGGTCGGGTACAATGAATTGAAGGTACGGAGGGACTTATTCCTTGTGATATATCTGGTTAAAGTATTGCGGGGTCGAGAGTTGAACCCAGGAGTTCTACAGTCCTTACACTTGTCAGTGCCGGACCGATACGTGTGGAGGCGATTACGACCACCGTTACTTGCGCTGCCGTACTCACGTACCAACTAGCTGATAAAATCCCCTCTTGTCCGTGCTATGCGTGTTATCAACAAGCTGCAAGAGGGGATCGACATTTTTACGTGCAGCTTGGGTGAATTGACAAAAACATCACTCTATGAAATATGTATATAATATATCTATCGCAATGGAATTTTTCTGTAATGGTAGAATATGTTTATAATGAAATAAATAAATAAAAACGAATTACATGTTTAAAAAGTTAATAAATCAGTTTAATGAACAACCAAGAGTGAAAAAAAATATTTTTATTGATTTAATAATAATAATTAGGGCTTACTTATTGTTTATAGACAATATATTCCAGACTTTAGTATATAGATATATGTATCAACGAATTTAAGATATTTTTAAAAGTATTATTAAAAACTTGTCTGTCTGTGTAAGTCTGTCCCAAAATAGCAATATAAAAACAATCCAATTTGTTTAATATCCAAAATATTTAACTTGTGTGAGATAGAAATAACAGCCTCCATTTCATTATTTTGAAATTTCCAGATTTTACCATTTTTTTGAGAAACAAAATATTTCAAGCCAGCAAAAAATGATTTTTAAAATACATAACGAAGTTAGGTTAGCTTAGTCAGTCTTGTTGTAATAATAATTATTCAATTTAATTATTAATTCCATTTTTAAATTCCATTCAATTTTACATTCATGAAATTTAGCCCGTAGAACTCGTCGTCTCGCCGTTTATTCTTCAGGTACTTGAATAGTTTCCTGAAAATCAAAAATAGAATTATTTAAGGTCATATTATGTAGTACAGAAGCAAACTTATGGCCTACAAAGAAGGCCAGGTTCAGTCCACATACAGTACAGTACCGTACAGTACGTAGAGTACTCAGGGAATGCTTGTTTCCACACATTTTTGCAATTGCAAGATAATAGTTTATTTATTTATTTATTTAGATATCTGTAGTTTAATGGATTAAATATTCAACTTCCAGCATTGGCAGACTTTTTCAGAGATTTGAATATCATTTGAGCGTATATTAAAATTGCCAGGTCATATTGGGAAGGAAGCCAGATGTATAAGTAGCGGCACGGATCTTTCAAAAATAGAGTACCGAAGGGACGGAGGCGGGCGCGGGGCGAGTGAACGTCGTGTGCGCTAGCGTCGATTGGTTCCCCAGTCGTGTTGTCTTTCTCGGACGATACGACACTCGGACTCACTTGTGTGTCCGTGTGTATAAATACATACATATATGTCATGGAAAACGAAAACTAAATATTCTGATTTGATTATTGTAGTATTTAGGGAGGGGTAAACACCGTGACGTGAGTTGTTATTGATATGGCGACACGTGGACAGAGTCGTATTAGAGAGTTAGTTTTCCGACGAAAGCATTCCTATTCGGGACGCGGTACGGTTCACACCTCTAAAACGTAAATGTTGGTTTACTGTTATGATTAAAAGAATATATACTTTATTCTCTTTAAAATTTCAAAAAATTATTTATATTCGTCAAAATATTTCTGAGCCTATATATGGGGCTAAAAATTTCTGAGCCTAGTTTATCCTTATTTCGTAAGTAAAGTTTCGCAATTGACTGAATTTAATTGGAACTGTAATCATAGCAAACAACCTGAGGTAAGCCACGTATACATTATTATTCTACGCCACCTGCGGCATAACCCTGTACCACCAAATCAAGATATACATAGGTATAAGCATACAAGAAGATATTCAATAATTGTTCTAACGAGTAATTTTAAACTATTTCTAAATCACAACACTTCAACATGTTCAGCCAGTAATGCTGAGTGTTAAAAAAAACGTTAACCCACCATATCGTTCTGGGAACATGGCCCCAGTCGTGTGGTACGTGCGAGACGAGATCCCTCAGGGTTTCGGAGTCTATGTCCACGTCAGCCACAATTGTCGCCACATCAACGGAGCCGGCGCGCGGCCAAGCCGTCTCCTGCGCATCTTCTACAATGAGCTCTATCCGCAACGATATCTCCCAGACGGACCGCAGCGGTATGTTCGCTATCTGAAAAGGAAAAATTATGTATTTAAATAAAACACTATAACGATTTAAAACACGATATATATTAGTTAAACATTATTGAACGTTATTTTAACGAAACGTCGGGCGGTTAAAGTAATTTTCAAATGAGTTTAACTAACATATTTCGCGTTTTAAACCGTTTAAGTGTTTTATTGAAATGATACAATGTTTTTCCTAAGACTCGTTGGCCCAATGGTAGTAACCTATGGCTAATTATTAACAGGTCTTGGCTTCGATCCCCATCGGGTTCAACACGTTTCTATTCACAACATTTAAAATTGTATCTATTAATACCTTCGCAAAACTAGTGAACCGTTAAACCTTTAAAATGTTTTATTTAAATTAGTAGAATCGGCCTGCTGGAAACATCACAGCAGCAGCTTGGTACGCTTCTAAAACCCTCCTATATGCATCCTTTAATCTAGCAGCATGATAGTAGGACTTTCCTGATGAAAAGAGATGTACCTTCAAAGTGAGGTAACCATCTTCATCTACTTGATAGGCCAGCCGCAGCATCGCGTCCCTCATAGCCTTCAACCACTGAACAGCAATCCTGCTGACATTGGCGCAACGCTTCAGCACTGATGGCACATCGCCAGCCTTGCTGCAGGACCTGGAGCACTCGTAGCGCATCGCCTCCATCGCGAATCGAAGACAGAGGGAGACTAGCGGGTCTTTCTCGGCTGAAACAAAACAAATTATATCTATACTAATATATAAAGCTGAAGAGTTGTGTGAACGCGCTAATCTCAGGAGCTGCAAAAATATGTGAGAGAATGATTCCTCTTCGAATGATCGAAAAAAAAGTCCACGACAGTATATGTCTTTTTAGATAAACGACGGGACGCGGACGACGTCGTGGAGAACAGCTTAAATTTATAGAGTTGAACTGGACGTTGCAAAAACGTACTCTACGCGTACGAAGTCGCTGACTCAGCTAGTTAAAGACTTTCGAGGATATTTTGGAAACTCATGCTTCAGTCATCGACATCTGATGACGTTATCCAATCATAATGGTGATATGTCGTGAAACATTTCTGAATTACGACGGTCAAACGGCGCGAAAACAATAAATATTTGTTTATGAAAGAGGCTTACCAACTGAGTAAATAATAAATATCTACAAAAAAAGTGGTAATCATTCCCTTTATTTCGCTGAGAAAGTTCTTCTTTTTAAGGAGTAGCTGTGTTCGCAACCAGGATATAAATTCTACATTGCTTCAATTCGTTTAGTGTTAAAAAAAGATATGTAATATTATACAGACAATGTCTATAAAAACTTTAAAAGTCCAAATTCAAGGGCGTAGACCGATTGAGAAGAATTGGCAGGAAACTAGCCGCCACTTCTTTCATTGCCAAGTTGTTTACAGTCTTTACATCAAATTAAAAAGTTAATAATCATTTTCAAATAAGTTTAACTAATACATCGCGTTTTAAACCGTTAAAGTGTTTTATTTAAAAGTCTTTACAGTGTACTACATATTTTTTCTTATTAGGTAAGATTCAGTAATAATCATAATATTCTCAATCTGTTTGTATATTATATTTATGAATTCGTAGTATTTGCTTAATTAATGAACGGTTCAAAACGAGAAAAAGAAACGTCGGGCCGTAGTTCAAATATTTTTAATTTAATTTCGACGTTTCTATTTCATCTAACTTGCCATCCTATATTGTCATAATTATCATTCTAGATTATACAGAGTATAATAAACACTTACTGCTATGTATAGAATCCACAGATACAGACACAAGCGGAGTGTCCGCTCTAACTCTAGATCTGGACGCGTTGAGGTAGCTATGCTCCATTCGGATGGTCAGACGCAACCGAGCACGCAGAAGCAAGAAGGACCAGACATCACCGGAGCTGGTATCCCATTCACAGTCACAACTCCTGCAATGTTGGATAGAACATTTATCGAGAAAGGCTTTAGGTTATAACATCACGCTGCCATGAAACAATACCAATAACAGGTGCAAAGAAAACAGTGGAAAAACAAAACAAAATGGGGAAAATTTATCATCTTGAAAGACTGCGTGCGCTACTAAAACGATTGAAGAATTTAAAATAAAAATAAAATCTACTCGGGCCAATTAGCTCCATTTAAGCTACCGAGTTGTAGAGCAACAGCACGGAACGCTAACGATCCCATGATGGTTCAAGTAGTGCTGCCCGAGTCGAACATTTTTCGGTCTTTAAATTATATAGTGCCTATTATATCATGTAAAAAGTTTAAGAAACCAAAAAAATATGTATGAAAGAATGATTCTTTTAAATGATCTTAAAAAACATGGCCACCACTGTATGTGTCTATGTTTTGAGATTAACTTACAAACGGGACGGGGAAAAGACAACGTCGTGGGTTACAGGTAGAGTTTATAAAGATGAAAAGTTTGCAAAAATAAATTTTTATGACCAAACTAAAAATAACTATTCCACGCAGACGAGGCCGCGGACATTTCTAATATTATTCAAAATTACTTTTTAACTCATACCCCGGTGTGACACAGACGTGTTCACTTATTCATTCGCTCGCCTATTGTAACGTAAAGGTGTCGTCAACATTTGGTATGGATTCACTGTGCAAGCGTTGTGACGAAAGCGTTTTGGATGGAGCTTTGTGTTCTGGATGCCGCCAAACATATCATTATTTTTGTGTTGGTTTGTCTGAAGTTGGTTGGCGCAGACTTGGAAGCGAAAGGCAGAACTCGTGGATATGTCCTGAGAGTCGAAAAAGTCCAGTGCATGTTGTGGGAAGTTCTAAAACTACGACTAGCCAACCCGACATAACATCACATCAATTTCAGCTAAACAGGATTGAAAATATGCTCACTCCGCTAACCACATTACCAGATCATGTCGATAAATTACGCAGCGAATTAAATGAACTGACTTCGAAGATCAACATGAACGTTATTGAGGATATCTATAGTAGGTTAGAGAACATTGATGCAAAGTTATCTCTCGTTGAAACTCTAAAGGAAGATTTTAACTGCCTTAAGACCCAAATAATCACGCTTGAAAATAAACAAAAAAAGTATGACCAGGAACTTACAAAGAACGTTGCAATTGTTGATAATCTTCAAAAAATCGTGGCTAATTTAGATAAAGAGAATAAGGTTAGTCAACAAAAATGTCGTTTCCTGAACGTTGAACTTGTGGGCATTCCTGAAAAGTCTAATGAGAACTTGGTCAACTTACTCTTGTGTGTTGGCACTACTATCGGATCAAATATTGCTGCCGATGATATTGAATTTATAACGAGAGTTCATTCTACAAAGCAGAAGCAAGGCCTTCCTAAGAAAATTGTAGCGAAACTCAAGAACAGAAGCTGTAAGGAGGAACTATTGGCTAATTTCAAGAAACATAACAAGTCGAAAGGTATTAATTCAAATGATTTGGGCTTTACCGATACGTCCTTCAAAATCTTCATCAACGAGCATCTCACTGTGGCCAACAAAATCCTCCTTAACACGTGTAAACTTAGAGCCAAGGAAAACAATATAAAATTCGTTTGGGTAAAGAACTGCATCATTTACGTACGCCGCAACGAAAAATCTCCGCCTAAAGCAATCACTTCTAATGAGGACTTGTGTGCTTTTTTAGAGTCAGTGCAAGTGTATTAATACATAACTTTACTTTACTTTTTATAATATTTAAACCATTGTTAAGACGTATCCAGCCTAACACGTACATACTCAATATATACACCGTTTACGCATTTCTCATTCAAATCATAAAACATTTAACTGTACTCGCGGAAAAATGTTCTGTACCTCTGAAGTCGGTCATTCTACAGATAACAATCTTTGTTATATTTAAAGTTATAACACACACACAATTTAAAACTACCCTCCGTATTGCAAATATTTATACTCAATTTCTAATTAGTGTATTTAAATTGGAGTCTACCTGCAAAATAATTTCAAATATTCCTCGTTTTGTTTACCGTTTTGATGTGGTATGTTGTTGTACAATAAATAATAACAAAAGGAATGTCAACATTTACACCAAAGGTGTGTTTTATGGTGATAACTTGTGTAATCCCGCTTTTTTTCTGCGTTTTCTTACAATATATTTAGATATAACATAACTAATATTTCTCATATGACACATAACCTTAATATTTATTATCAGAATACTCGCGGATTACGCACGAAATTGCACATTCTGTACAGAAACATCGAAATGTATAATTACGACATAATTGTTATCACAGAAAGTTGGTTATGCGATGGAATACTGAACACAGAAATCTGTGATAATAGATATGATATATTCAGATTTGACCGGACACATAAGAAAAAAGGCGGCGGTGTTTTAATATGTATTAAAAAAAGTCTTAACGCACATATTTCTCATAAATTTATCTGTAACCAAGTGGAATGTCTCTGTCTTACAGTTCCTAACCGGATTTTCAATAATCACTCGAGGGGCAATCCCAAAAATCTACACATTATCGCTTCTTATATACCTCCAAATACTGAAGCTACTTATTTGTTTAATGAGCTAAGCAAGTCATTAAAAGATTTTTACGACATAAATAGTATGGATGACTATCTAGTATTAGGCGACTTCAATTTACCTTTCATTTCGTGGCGGGGTCACACCTACTCGAGCGATCACCCTTTACCGCCAAATTTTTGACTTAATATACAAATAACCTAACTTCTAAAACGTGCAAACCTTAGACTTTTATCAAATTTATTTATTCAGTGAATTCGGAGTTTCTTTGGGAAAAATTGACCAATTTCTTTTTCCCTTAAAGATAACTATTCAAGATTACGTAAACTTTACGCAAAAAATTAAAGTTCTAAAGAAATTTTTTAAGGGTGATTACGATGCAATAAATTCTAAGCTATTGTCTGTAAATTGGTACGATATTTTAGTTCCTACTCCGTTTGAGGAGGCCGTAAATGTTTTCTACCACATTGTTAATAATCTCATAGATTTGCATATTCCAGTAGCCAAAGTTTCAACTCGATATCGATACCCTAAATGGTATACTCCCGCGTTAATTAATATTTTGAAAGAAAAACATAAATATCATACAAAGTGGAAGAATTTTAAAAGATTGAGTGATTATGCAACTTTTTCCTTATTAAGGTCACGGGTTAAAAAATTACAAATTGAAGCATATTCTAATTATATAACCAGGTGTCAAGACGGTATAAAAAAGTCTCCTAAAGAATTTTGGAATTATGTTAAAAGCAAACGTTGTGATTCTGGAATTCCTCGCAATATGTGTTATATGGAACGTCCTCTAACAAACGGCCAAGATATTTGTAACGCTTTTAACGAATACTTTCAAAGTGTGTTTCAGCCGTCTGTATACAGAGATTTGAACTTAGAAAAAGAATCTGACGTTGCCAGTAGCCTTTGCACAATTCACATAGATAAAAAATGTTTAGAAACGTCTTTCAAAAATTTAGATGATCGAAAGGGTTGCGGAACGGACGGCTTACCGGGAGTTTTCTTAAAAAGAAGTCAAGCTGGCCTCACAACGCCGTTATTAATACTTTTTCAGCGTTCGATTAATGAAGGAATTTTTCCTAAACAGTGGAAGGAGGCTCAACTAACCCCCATTTATAAGAAATACTCTAGAATGAATGTAATAAACTACAGAGGTATTTCAATATTAAATATAGTCGGTAAAATGTTGGAGAAAGTTATTTACAACTATATTTATAGTCACATTAAACAATGCATACCTAGTAATCAACACGGTTTTGTTAAATCTCGAAGTGTAATAAGTAATCTACTTGAATTTACTCATTCCGTTAAAAACGACATTAACGATAATACACAAATAGATGTGATTTTTACTGATTTTGAAAAGGCATTCGATACTGTGGATCATTTCATACTTTTACAGAAGCTTTATTCAGTCGGTATCAGGGGCAATCTTCTAAGATGGATAGAATCTTATATTACAAATCGCTGTCAACGTGTGGCACTTGGGGGCTTTAAATCGGACTTTATCAATGTTACCTCCGGCGTACCTCAAGGATCACACCTTGGACCCTTATTTTACAATATTTATTTGTACGACTTAAGAACCTGTTTTCATAACTCCAATTTTGTTTTGTACGCAGATGACAAAAAAATTTATAAAAAAATTTGTAGCTTGGAAGACTGCTTTAAGCTTCAAGACGACTTACTAAGGTTATCCAATTACTATAAACTAAACAAAATTTCAGTTAATGTCGCTAAATGCAAAGTTATACAACTGACTCGTAAACTCAAAGGTGTGCTAGATTATAACTACTCATTAAACGGACAAACTATACCAAAAACGGAGCAAATACGCGACTTAGGTGTTACCCATGACGCCAAACTAACACATAATATTCATATTGAAAATATAACTCAAAAGGCATTTAAAACCCTCGGCTTTGTGCTCCGCACTACTGACGCTTTCAATGATATCTCATGTTTAAAAGTTCTATATTTTGCTTATGTGCGAAGTGTTCTTGAGTTTGCAAGTCCTATCTGGCGGCCACACTACCTTTGTCACATAAACAGGTTGGAAAAAGTTCAAAAACTATTTATAAAGAAACTAAATTTTTTAACTCAATACAAAACTAATAATTATAACGAAGCTTGTGCACATCATAATATTAACACTCTAGAAGACAGAAGAGATATAATAGACATGATGATTTTTTACGACATTCTCCATAACAAACTTGACTGCCCGGACATATTGCGTAATATTTTCTTTCAAGTCCCAAGCCTTCGCACTAGACATACAAATATTTTTTACGTTCCGTACGCTTCTACCTCTTACTTGAAACATTCCCCTCTTTACCGACTGCCCGATATTTACAATAAAAAATTTTCATCCATAGATATTTTTCATCTTTCACGCCCAGTCTTTAAAAAAGCCCTAATTAGCACCTTTAAAAAATAAGAACATACATTCACTTACACTTACACATGCATACAAAAAACACACCCCATCCCTGGATACGTCAATTCAGTTCTCGTTTTATTCACCTATAATATAGAACCTTGTCACTTGGGTAATCCTATTAAATTATTATTTGTAAATCCTTGTAATTGGCGTAATTAATTGCCTAACTACAAAATAACATGTACGTTTAGCTGTAAGGATTTCTGTAAATAAATAAATAAATAAATAAATAAATAAATAAATATAAGTAGGATCTTTACGCTTATGCTACACATTTAACGGTTTAAAACGAGAATCAAATTAGTTATAATAGTTACGACCCGACGATTCGACTGCTTCAAAGTAACCTTGACAACAAATCGCGTTTTAACCCGTTAAATATGTTTTAAATCATTAATAAACTTTTAACGTACCCCATAAATGGCAACATATCGATCTTCGCAACCACGTTCGCACTCGACTCGCACTCCCCAATCAGATTCTTCGAACTTTGATCGCTCATACACGGATTTTTCCATTCTACCCTCGAAACGTCACTTCCAAGCGCCATCAACTCCGACCTGACGCTCTCCTTCGCACTGGCATTTGAGGTCACGCTGTACATATCTGTATCTGTTGATAGGGCTTCTATCGCGTGGTTCACTTCCTCGGAGATAGCATTTCCATCTATCTCCGTTACATTGAATTCGGCCATTAATTGCTGCACTGTGATCGATTTCTTGGGACTGTTTCTCGTCTTTGTTAACCTCTTCTGCGGACTCTTCCCCCCTTCTGGGCTGTTAGACAACCTTTGCATCTTACTTTGGGGCTTCGGTGTCACTTCCTTTTGCCCTATATTGGGACTTAGGCTTCTTTTCTTCGGCTTACTTTCTATCGTCTCGTAGTCTCCGTCAGTTGACGTGATGTCTGACTCTACTTTCTCTGACAGAACTCCGTTCTGATACATCTTGTAAATAACTCTTACTGGAGATCTCGCCTCTTCAGATTGTGGGACGTCCAAATCTACATCAAACGTACTGCGGGCTAATGCATCGTCTACCAGTGTGAGAGAAGAATTATCTTCTAGAAGTTCAGCATTGGGTTTCATTGCGATGTCTGTGTTTATTTCAGTTTCTGTTATATTCAGTTTCATTTCTATAGACCGGTCTATTGATACCGGTTTGCTTTTGACTGAGGATTCGCTGGGTTCAGGTTTGATCTCCACCCCGGCGTCTCCAGATGCTATGCATTTTACGTTAACGTTGAATTGTGTTGAGACTCTCTCCACTTCTACTCTATCTTCTCCGGATGATGTTGCGGAAAACTGAGCGGATTGTTCTCTCTCAGAATTGAGGGTATCTGAAGATTTAATAGGGTTGTATGGATGAACGTTTACGTAATCTCTAGGCGATAGGAGGACGTTGTTAAGTGGATTAGTGTGGTCAAAAACTAACACTCCGCCAGGTACGCTTTGGCGTCTCCTCGGCGATTTCCTGGGTGATTGTTTGACATTGGTCTCCAATTCGTCCTGTGATGGTTTGGAATCAGAACCATTCAATACCCTAGCTAACGCTTTACCACCCAAAGTAGCGATCTGGTTCAACAAGGACTTGTCTTGCAATACATCAAACGCAGACTCCGGATTTGAGTGCATCTCAACATCAATATCAATCTGACTGGACGTAACCAAGTTCGCTTGAATTTGCGTGCTGATCGTCGATGGTGTTTTCTTCGTGTTCTTGTCCAAGACACCGGCCTCGAATGGCAACACGTCCGCCATGGGTTTGACCAAATCACTCATTAGTTCCTTGATGCCATCTGATACATCGTATGTTGGAATAACTTTTGCCTTCTCCCTTGTCTCTTTCATGTATGACGTTTCGCCGAAAGCGGTCTTCTTCAGCGGCGACAACTCAACACTTACGTCATCATTAGTATCGTTGAATTGAAGAGCTTTAACGACATCACCGCTGATCCTCAAAGATCTCCTCGCAGTTCTGTCAACTTCTATAACCTCGTCAGACACCTCAGTGGCATCGTCCAGCTCGGATTCATCGAAGTACCGAGATCTCTGTAAGGCTGCGTGTGCCATAGAGATGTTCTTTAGAAGATCCTCCTTGCTGAGAACTACAGACCGTCTATTTGGAGCGAAACTAATTCTTCTGGGCTCCGTTTGAGTTTGCTCAATCTTCTCTCCCATTACTGATAAATCATTTTCTTCTACTATCGTCGGAGGAAGAGACGGTCGATCGGTGAACTCTGACAGCATTTGCAAAAGTTCACGTGTATCATCTGCGTTCTTAAAAGACTTTGTCTTTCTTGAATTATTAAAATCGTTAAATTCTGATCTATCCATTTCCTTCTCGCTCGGGCTAACAACCTGTTCGTAATGACGATTCTTCGCTGCCGTCTTGAGTGATTGTAATTTATTCTTTAGATCATCGACAACACTGTCTTCCTCTCTAAATTCAAGTTCGGGTAATTTATTATCGACTTCTTGTACAGAAGTGGCATTTTCTAAATTTTTAATTTCATCTTCGTCGCTATCTTTTCTTATAATAAAAACGTCGTCTGATTTAACTTCTGGGTCACTTTTAGCTTCATCATCTATATTCGAAGTTTCCACTAGATCCATTACGCTTTCATTATCTATCAGTGGAGATTCTATAACGGCCATGTGGTTCTTATCTTCATAACACTCCTCCGAGGCAGTTGACATGTCCAAGAGTTCGTTGAGTATCGATTTTTTAAATTTAGATGAGGTTTGGGACAACGCTGATCCAGTTACGCTTATGCTTCTTAATACTGATTTTGCCTCCATTGTATCATCAGTTACTAATGGTACGATTTCTATGTCTTTTTCTAAAACCTCAGAAGATTTTTTTAATGTAACGTCTTTGTATTCTATTGTTGATTCTTCAGATGCCTTTTTCTCAGAATGATTACTTTCTACGCCACTCTCACTATTGACCTGCTGACTTTCTTGTTTTATATTGACATCTGCAGATTGATAGACTAAGATTTGGTTTGTGGACTCATGACATAGGTCCTCATATTTTATGCATGTTTTTTTACCTTCCACTTCCTCTAATTTGTCACATGGGCTTACTGTATGAGGCGTCTTAAGTGACATATTAGTTAAATCTTGTTTAATGTTTTCATATTGATTCTTCTGTAAAATATCAACCGATTGATTAATACCATTGATATCAGAGCCTAGTAAGCCAGGGGCAGTGCGGTCATTACATGAAGTATGCATGTTCTCAAATTGATTATCTGTTTTATTCAAACTTAAATTAGGATGCAGTTTAACTCCTGCCTCAAACACTGAAGGTTCTTCAGCAGTTGGGCAGTGGTCATCTTCATTATGAATTTCTTTAATTTGATTTGCTTCCTTAGTAGGTTGGCATTCATGCATAAGTACATCTTCCATAATAGGAAGAATTTGATTAGGATTAGCTTCAATGGTTGATATATCTGCCGATACAGGCGGACAATGTTTTTGTGAATCAATTTGTGTCGGAAAGACATGTGGTGGAAGAGTTTCTGTCAAGGATGTATCCATTTTAGTGTCATGTATATTATTTTTGATATTTATATTATTTGTGGGTATCGCCTGTGTAATAGAAATATCATTGTCATTGAAAATTGTTTGCCTCTTAGCTGGAAGGATATTCTGTGGCGGGGCTTGAGTAATGGAAATATCATTTGCATGTTGGTTGAGTGTAGAATTAGAAGCCGGTTTTGGTGGATTGTCTTGTACAATGGAAATGTTTTTATTGTCTAAAACTATTTTCGGTTCTGCATGGTCTTGATAGATCAAAGCTGGGATAGCCTGTGTAATAGAAACATTGCAATCGTCATCAAACACTATGGTTTTTCTTCTTCCTCCGCGTTCTTTTTGTTCTTTGTTATCAAGAATATTCGTAGGGATCGCCCGCGTCATAGATACATCGCAGTCAAACACAATTGTTCTTCTTCTTTCTGCCTCAGTATTTGCATCAATTATGTGTGTCGGTATAGCTTGCGTTGTTGAAATATCTACATCGTTGTCATAGACAATTGTTCTTTTTTCTTCAAAGGTTTTAAATTTTCCATTTGTTGTTGTAATAATGTTGGCGGGTATAGCTTGAGTGGTTGATATGTCACAGTCAGTGTCAAAAATGACAGTTCGTCTTCTCTCTTTTATAGGCTCTGTATATAGTGCTTCATTGTTTAATGCACTTACTATATTTGTAGGAATTGCCTGCGTCATAGATATATCACAGTTGTTATCATAAACAGTTGTATTTCTACATAACTCTAACTGGGAAGGCTTATCTTTTTCAACCATATCTACAATTATGTTTGTAGGCACTGCCTGAGTTGTCGAAACATCACAATCATTTTCAAAGACAATAGTTCTTCTTCTTTGTTCAATAACTTTACCAGGAACTACTTGAGTCGTAGATATATCACCCATATTGTCATCAAAAACTATTGTCTTCCGTCTCGATGGCATTTCTTTTGGGATTGGCATATTTTCATCATTATATATGGAATTATTATCCTTAGTTATAATTGAATGTGGCTTAGAATCTGATACAAAGTTTGGTAAATCACATGTAAATGGCATCTCTGCTTTTGACTTACATTCTTTTTGTATAGTTAATTTCTTTCCATCAAAAACCAAAACTTCCTCATGAATAGCAAAATTATCAGATTCCCTAATAGGTGCGTATGGGTTAACTAATATATTTTCTTTGTCATCCAAACTGTAATTGGCTACATTCTTTTTGGATAGGGCCTGTGAAATTTCTTGTACCTTTGGACTCTGGATAGTATCTGTAATTGACATATTATCATCATTTGATATTTCAATTTTGGTAGAATTTATATCAATTTCAATATATTCAGATAGACCAAAATCTGTGGGGCCTACAATGTTCTGTTGTGCTCTTCTAGCCAAGTCCCTCTGAATTTCATCTAAGTCATCACCCTTGTTTTGCGTAAGAGAAAAATTTACGTTCATTTGATTTGACATCTCTGCCATAGTGGGTATAGTAAGATCATTTCTAAATAGTTTACTTTGCTGATCCGTTAGCTCGCTCAGTTCAAACCTCTGTTGTGGCAATATGGGCTTTTCTGTAGTGCATTGTAAGGATGCCAAATGGTCCGTGAAGTTGGCATTACTAATAGAGTTTTGGAATTCTTGTGGTAAAGATTGTGTCGGTCTTATAGCTGCGCAAAAGTCTACAGTTTCTATTTCCTCAAACTCTTGGTCATCAAATATGTGCCTCCCTAATTGGCTGATAGGAGGAGGTCTTGGTGCTTTAACGCTATCATCATTTCCAGAGGTTTCCAGACTCCTATTGTGCTCTTCATAGAAATTCTTCCAGGCTGTTGATACTTCGTTAGTTTCAAATTCCCTAAAACAATATTCGAGATTCTTAGGATTTGCATACACAATGGTATTTAGAATTTATCAGATACTATAAAATGCTTAAATGATTTTGTTTTTAAATTGTTGTCACAATTAGTAGTGGTATATATACTATAGATAACATTTATACTTTAATCATATGAATTGACTCACACGACACCAGTTCGTTTAGAGAAGCTAACACGGCGATTCTTAGTTGTATCTGTGGGTGTGGCTACATTGAATTCAAGTTCAGAAAATGGTGTGCGTGGTGGTCTCTGGTTCTTTAATATGGATGACCGCCGCTTTCTCCTGAAATTTATAAGACATCAATGCTAGATAAACTTTACATCAATGAGCACAAATGCAGTATGTTGACCCAGTCTTCAATTTGTACTTCCAATTAAATGTAATAATAGTAAAAAGCTAATGTCTAACATAGCAATAAGAAAAAGAAAACAGCTTGTGTAGGTATAGGAATATTTATTTCCAATGTGTGTATGTCTGATTGGTTTTTAATAAATTAATTAATATTCCCTTCTTCTATTCTAAATCTCGCTCTATGCTCAGTTTTATATTCATGCACAAATTTACAAACTCCATACAATAAACGCTTTAGATTTTTTTAATGTTTATATCAATTTTAATGATATCTTCTAAGTATTTATTATTCTAAGAATGTAAGAGCATAATTTCTGCTTTAAAAAAGGCTAAAACGGATTTCAGGACGAGAAATTCATTAGCAAAACAAAAGTTTCACATAAAGATTCTATCGATACTTACGTAGCAGTCGCATCTACAGTTTTATTCATTTGAGTGTCATCCATACTTGCTCACTTTTAAACTATCTCAAGCTATTTTAAACAAGTATCACCACTAAATCTAAATGCTTCTAAATTATAAATAATCAACCATTTCATACAATGCTAACAATTATGCTTTTTCAAATCATTTGAAAAGATTTAACGTTAAAATATTTAAATTTGACAATATCGAGTGACTATTGACTGCACCGGGGTGGCCATAGTGAAAATACGATGCTTGAATTAGACAATTATAGCCAACATGATGAAAAAAATAAAGTAAACGTTACTTAAAATTATCCGAAATATATTTCCTTTATAAAATACATTAGCCAATAAATGTCGAAGTGCCCTATAATCTATTTAGTAATCTAAAAATAATTTTGCAATTTTCCTAAAGACATGCCGTTTTTTTTCCATTTATTAACCACATCAGCTTTCTATCGCTTTACCTCTAAGAATCCACTATAAAAAATAACTTACAGAACAAATACCACTCCAAGAACTGTGATTGTTAGGAGACTTACATACAGGGATAAAACACCTAACCAAAGGATAAATGAAGCATAATTTTCGATACCCAACGGCCCGGACATCGAATATTAGCTCTACATATTTTTTGAAAATATAATATAAAATATATAATACTCAAAAATTTTGTAAACAAAATAACGACATTATACACGAAACGTACACTTTTGACAGTGTAATACTTTTTTTTCTTTTTTAATCCATTGGAAAAATAGTACATTCTTTTTTAGGAAGGCATAAATATATATCTAGAAATAATGCTTTTGAGTAATATTTATTTAAACTAACTTTTAACTTATGTAAAATGTGTCTTTTACAATTTTTATTTATTTTTATGTTACTTTCAATAAAAAAATGTATCAATATTGATACCAAAAAAAAAAATAGTTATTCTATTTCTATCATAGTGCTGGTACGAGTATCCGATAAAATTGTCATATGACTGTCGTCATGCAGGGCTGCCAACATTGTTGAACGAGTACCATCTTTGGGCAGCTGATATTTGTGTTATTGAGGAACTTTTGCAAAATAACACCTATATAGTGTGAAAATGGGTGCCTCATTTGTTCCCATCACAGTATTTACGGTATTATGGGGTGTGGTGGGTATTGTGTGCCCATTTTTCGCCCCTAAAGGGCCAAACAGAGGGTAAGTTATGACCTTACACTTACGCCTATTTTCAATTGCTTATTTCTGTATCCCCGTCTTAATATAAACAATTAAACATTTCAGAATCATCCAGGTGGTGTTAATGTTAACTGCTGCAACGTGTTGGCTATTGTAAGTAATCTAAATATGTTACTATGACTCAATGACTTACAACGATTAGGCCTTTCCTTGTTTCCATCGTTATTTTAGGAAAAACAATAATTTTCCCTATGTCATCCCTTTTTCAAGTAGTAACGTTATGAGTAATGCTAGTGATTGATAAGCGGTATTTTAATTTTACTGTTCACATTTCACCATATTACTATCAATCTCACAATGTGTAGAGAAGGTTGTTGCAAGCTATTTCTTTAATAGTATTTCTGTTAAAACTTCTCTTCCTTAGCTTAGACTTTGTTGTTAGCAATGAAATGACCTGTTATAAAGAATTTTAATATTTAATTAACAGTTCAAAATTTACGTCTCAAGTGCTGCCTCATTAAGAAAGTGCCACAAGTGCTGTCCAAAAGTTGACAATCACGCGACTTTATCGGTATCCACTGTAGACATTAAACTTATAACATTATAAATGAAGTAAAACGTATGTTCAATTGTAAAATACAATGTCAGTTATGGTTTCAAAGCACACAATCTATGAAGGTAAACTATTGATAAATAAGAAAACAAACATGATTTTTAAGATTGATTTTATGGGTGAAATGGTTAGCTGATGGTGTGATCTGATCACCTGACCTGCTGTGGGGGGCATCCCTTATAGAAAATAAGATTGATGTTTAAGGTACTTACTGGTTAATAAAGAAGAACAGCTATACAATTAAACAGACAATGTGTGACCTTAGGGCTTTCTCAGAGGATATGATATGATTGATTTTATGACAGATAATAAAAATAACATGAATACTTGCAATATACTGAAATGTTTTAGCATTTATATAAATTAAAAATATGTTTAAATTGTAAAAAAATGACATTGAAACATGCACCTCTCCTCTCTCGCAATTTATAAATTTATTACAAATTATACCTTTTTACAACAATATGTAAATGTTAAGGCCAAATTGATCTTACTTATAAATAATTTCAATGACATTTACTTTGACACATTTAAGCAACAGCACTTGAGTCTCAATTCTTTCTCATGTTAACAAATTATGTCAAACTGATATTAATAATATTATAAAGCTGAAGAGTTTGTTTGAACATGCTCAAGCACTACTGGTTCTAATTGGTAATTAATTTTTGGACTATTTATTGAGGAAGGCAACAAGCATTAGCTTCTTGAAATAATCTATAAAGAAGACTAAATGATTATGTTTTAATAATTTTTTTCTAAATATGTAACTTCACATGGTTAAAGATTGTTAACCAGATCAGCTTTATACTAAAAATGACTTAATACTATTACAATTGTTTGTTAGTTTGTTTTGTCTCATCATTCGAATTTGTATATTTCAGTTGGCTGTGTGCGTATATGGCCCAGATGAACCCACTCATCGGACCCAGATTGAGTAATGAGACTCTTATATGGATCGCCCGTACTTGGGTAAGACTCTTTTTTTTACTAGAGAACAGAGAAAAATAGCTTAAGATATCAAAAAGAAGATACAAACCATCCCTTCAACCTAAGCAAGAGTTGTCAACTTTTTTTGGCTTTGGACATTTAGTAGATCCACAGACTAAAATCAATTCATAGATTAACTCTTCAAGGCCTAGACCTGGAAGGGAATTAAATATCCTTCAACCCATTTAACCTGGACCTGGTGGAAATGAAACTCACGACACTTGGATTATCAGCCATCATTTTTTTTTTCTATTTATGTTTCATTTACATCAAGCAACTGGGCATGTAAGCCATGTAGCGGTTTGTTTTGGCAACGGATCACTCGATAATACAATATATTATACCAAGAAAATATACTAATTTAATTATAAAAGCCACCAAACAAATGATAATTTGAAGGGCCTGTTGTTGTAATGGTATTTATGTATGAGTAATAAATAATAATCAACGGGTCGTGATTGCAATCTCCTCCGGATCCACCATTTTATACAATTAGTTTATAATTTTTCTGAAACATGTTGGACTATGTCTGGTAATCTGGATATTAAATGGGCGATAAGAATGAAAAAGCCGTAATTGCGTTTCGATTTCAGTCTGGATTTCCAAATATCTAAAAACAAAATAGGCCGACAACACATCTTGTTTAGATGTTATGTAGCTGGGGTATTACGCCTCAAGTGAACTTTATCTTTCTCTGTCCTCCTCGATCTAAGAAATACAGTTTGATTGATTCCTTACATTTAAATAAAACACTTTAACGGTTTAAAACGCGATATATTAGTTAAACTTATTTGAAACGTCGGGCTTAACTTCGTAACAATAATTGACAAATAAGTTTAACATCAAAAGTGTTAAACTCGCTTAAGTTAAGTCTCGTTTAAACTAGAGACAGTATTTACTTCACTCACTATTCATAATGTGTAAATGTTTTGTAAAAAACGCATGTAAGTTCTCTACAAACTTTTTGGCCGGGCTGAAGTTAGCGTGATCGCCATCTTGCGCATGATACTGTCAATTTTAAGAAAACAGTCGAGGCTTTTTGCGTTCTGCTCAACCACCCGCGTTGACTTCAGCCCGGCCAAAAAGTTTGGAGAGCACTGTAGATCTTTTAATCGACATACACCGATATCCAATATCGTGACGTCACTGGCCGTATTGCAGCGTTATTTCGAAAATAAAGGCGCACAATTTTAATTATTTTATATATCTCAGCAAATATGTATGAGTATTCAAATTTACTATTTTTTAGAGATTGCTTAACACCTGCCAAATAAAACAAAGTACTTTATAAAAATCAGGCCAATGGCCCATTTAAAAAAAAGAAATAACTTTCCAAACAATCCGGTATATATACGCCATTTTCCTTTTCATCCACAATACACGTGCTAAATCAAAAACATTTCGACGATAACTGTCCTTCGCGTCGCATATTCTGGCAACACCGACCACTATTATTAGTTGCACTTGTGATCCGCAGTCACGCATCACAACAAAGTCTATTCAGTTATTTTCTCACTGCGACAAACACTTCTGATTTTAATTAAAAATCTATTTCAATCGATGACGCGGGCGGGACTTGAACCGGCATCTATAGCGTTCCGTGCTACTCTAACCAATTGAACTATCGTGTCATAAGAACGCTGTGGTTGTCGGTTCAAGACCCGCCCGTATCGTAAATGTTTTTCAACCTAAATATATTTTTATTATATAGAATGCCATCACGTGCGTGAAAAATGGTCGTTTTCAAAGTTTTATTATCTTCAGACATAAAAAGTTTAATTTCAAAATGGCGGCCGCATAGTAACTACAATTTAATATTAAAATTTTTAGTAATGTAAAATTTAACTAATAATCAACGGGTCTGGGTTCCATATGGTCCAACTTGGTTCTAAGAAAATTAAAAAATTTCGGAAATATTTAATTGTATTAGAACTAGAAGGCTAGGCAATCTGGATGTTAAAATTAAGATTATCGAGTTTCAAGTCACGAACCACGTTCCACAGATAAAAAACTGCGTTTAATCGCCTTTCGATTTTAGTCTGTGGATTCCCAAATATCCGAAGCTAAAATAGGTCGACACTGCATCTTGTTTATTTGGCCTTCCGTCAAGTGACCCCTATATTTGTCTGTCCTTCTATTATAAAAAATATTAATTTGCCTTTCTTTTCCAGGGAAAACCCTACGCGTAAACCGGAAGTATGAAGAAACCGACGATATGAAAAAAATCTAATTAATTGTCTATGGTTCGGAGGCGAATAAGTCCTGTGAGAATGTAATAATAATTTAAGTTATCTGTTAACACAAATATCATCTGTTGAATTGAATTTGAAAGTCTTTTAAATTATTTAAGATTAATTCTGATTGGATTATAAATCATTCCAAGTATTGCATTAGTTAAGTTTAACGCTAAAATAACTGTTTTATTGTAGATACTTTCAAATAAATATTATACATAGTTATATTGGTGTTTTATTTAGTGTCAAGCTCTCGTATGTACCTATTAAAGTTTTTGTTCTAATATTTATTACAATTTAAAACATTTGAACGGTTTAAAACGCGATATACATGTTTGTTAAACTTGTTTGAAAATTATTTTAACCGATGCTTCGCAGCAGCCTTGGTCATGAAGAGACGAAAACCGTAGTAGTTAAAATAGTTTTCAAACAAGTTTAACTAACATATATCGCGTTTTAAACCGTTAAAGTGTTTTATTTAAATGTGTACTACTCACGTAAACTACAGACAGTATTTATATCTATACTAATATAAAGCTGAAGAGTTTGTTTGAATACGCTAACTTCAGGGACTACTGGTTCGAATTGAATAATTATTTTTGTGTTGGTTGGAGTGTATATCAAGGAAGGCGTTAAGGGAAATCACATCAGGCTGCCACGAAATCGTGCATCGTCTAGATATGAGGGCGGTAGAGGCAGAGTGCCTAACTGCAATTTTATCTATTTATATTTTTATAGTCTAAAAATGTTACTCTACAACACAATTCTTACTCTTCTTCTTCCTCTTTTAATTTTTTTTTAGGCCACTCTGCCTCTAGCAGAAGTTTCGCGTGCCTTATATTTATAACTGTAATCATGTAATATATAAAGTTAAGGAAGAACCAAGAACTTTTCTTTTAGACGTTATTATAAGGTAAACTGCAAATGTGTGTCAATTTTGACGTTTGCATGGACTTTGACACTGTCAATGTGAACATAGACTTATATAAGTTTTATTTTAACAATCATTTGACCCGCATTGAAAGGGTAACCTTGTGCGGAGTGCGTAGAAATTTTGGCGAAAAGCCAATACTCGCGCATGGCGCAATGCGTTTTATGGTATGCCTGGTATTCCGGTACCTGCTATCGCAATAGGGGGCTAATGGCCTGTTTCAGATAGTAAAAAGTTTTAATTAGATTATCTAATATATAAAATTCTCGTGTCACAGTTCTAGTTGCCATACTCCTCCGAAACGGCTTGACCGATTTTGATGAAATTCTGTGCTCATCCGGTATCTATGAGAATCGGCCAACATCTATTTTTCATCCCCCTAAATGCAAGGGGTAGTCCACCCCTAATTTTTATATTTTATTTTTTAGACAAAATTTTTAATTTCTATTTTTTATGATACAACATACAAAAATACATACCTACAATCTTCAATTTTTACCCTTCTACGATCAATCCTTTTTTTAATAGCCATTTTAGAAATTTAATCATTTGTCCTATCCACAAAACAACGTTTGCCAGGTCAGCTAGTGTATAGGTATATAATAAATATTATATTGTAAATAGTTTATAACGGATACCTCTTATTCTTGTGCCATGGTTTTCACTGCCCTTACATAACTATTTCTCACCACGTGACTATTTTTACATGTACTTGATCTTAATGAACGAGAGACACGATTTCTTTACATTGTCAAAGGACGTGAAAAGACTTCAAACAATGATGGATTTAAATAAAACACTTTAACGGTTTAAAACGCGATATATTAGTTAAACTTATTTAAAAATGATTTTTAACTAAGTTAACTAATATAACCAACTAATATATCGCGTTTTAAACCGTTAAAGTGTTTTATTTAAATGTGTACTACTCGCGTAAACTATAGACAGTATTTAATGATGGATTTGTCATCCTTCTTTATCGTCACAAACTTTATTTTCAGACATAATGGAAATCTGGATATATTAAATGGATAGTAGGAATTTCAAATTGCCGTCCACAAATGATAAAGCCGAAAAGTTTTATCTCTGTCAATCTGTGGATTTCTGAATATCAAACGCCAAAAGAACAGCGAATCTTGATTACATGTGAGGCTGCTAGAGGCAGAGTGGCCTAATGACAAACATGATTTCCAATAAGGAGGAAAAATGCGCAATTAATTTAGGCGAAAATTTGCACTACTATTTGTGTAAGAATTATGTTAACAATTTTCGGTCACTGTGCTCTTGTAGATTAACATTTTTAGACTATAATAAATAAGTCAAGTAATAAAATTGCAGTCCGGCTACCCCATTCTTAACTGTAGCTGTGAATGCCTAATGCACGCCCAGGTCGTGCAATAGTGACGTGGGGAGTGTGGTAAAATATATAGTCGACCAGAACCACCAAACACACCACCAGCCCGCTACGGTGCTTCGAGGGAGTTCGGCTCCTTTAGCGGCCTCATGTTGTATGGGATATTTCATCTGCCATCAAGTCTCTTCTTGTCTGTCCTTCTATTTTATAAAAAAAAATCATACGAATGTTTTATTCGTATGTCGTCAAGCAATAACCTAATTGTCTTCATAAGACGCGCGTAGAGATAAGGGTAAGACACGTTATCTAATAGTCCATCTACTAATTGATAACGTTAGGTCTTTTAATATATAGTCTTGATATAGTTATGCAACCATTGTAGAAGGATCTTTGAGATAAACTAGGTGTTATGGCAAAGGTTCTTTTGCCATCTATACTAATATTAGCTGTGTCAGAGACAAATCCGCGAGAATCGTTACTTTGGGCATCCAAATTCGTTTTAGCAAACCGCTTCATCTTTATAAACTTAATCTGGTGACGACATCGGTCGCGTCCCTTCCCGTCGTTCTTGCAAGTTAATCTTAAAAGATAGACATATAGCGTCGCGGACTTTTTTTTAGATCAATTAAAGAGGATTCATTCTTTCATACATATTTTTTGGGTGTTTAGCACCGTTTTGGCAGTGTATGCGTCGGAAACTTATGGCGATGAAAAATTATCCCAATTTTTCTAAATTTCTCGCTGTATCTTCGCTTGTCACAGTTACAGGGCGATGTGGCCAATATTAGCGAAGAAAAATATGTACAAAAGAGTGATTCTTCTTTAATCGATCTAAAAACTGTTCGCCTTATGTGTATCTAGAATGACTCACTTGAAAATATGCCATAGAATTACACCGATGAACCCGTAAATATAATTCTAAATGGATTATTGTGTTTTTTTTTCTTGTTTAAAGTAAATCTTAGAATACAATATAAGTTTAAATATAGAGAAGGAATTTGATAATTCAAAGTCAATTTTTGATTTAGCGTATTCTTATCAAACAATGATAACGCGAGTCACGTGTTGGCAAAATGTAACTGTCGTTGTGTAGAAATTTATTTTTTTCTAGATTACGAACTTTGTTTCTCGGGCTTGAACAACATGAAATAAGCTACTTTTAGTAAAAAAAACCTTAAAATCTTATGTTTCTTTAATCTCGTTTCTCCTGTGGGGTGTGTGGCGAACACATTTTAGCGTCCACTTCAGTGTTCAATTAAATTTACAGACAAGTAGTTAAATACTGTCTGTAGTTTACGCGAGTTCACATTTAAATAAAACACTGCAACGGTTTAAAATGAAACGGAGAATTATTTTTAACTACGGCCCGACGTTTCGGATGCTTTGCAGCAGCCGTGGTCACGGGGAGACAACGACAACGAGTCTAAAAATAATTTTCAAACAAGTTTAACTAAAATATATCGCGTTTTAAACCATTAAAGTGTTTTATTTAAAAGGTAAGAGGTTGATCACACTTCTGTGCCATGTTTAACCGATAGAATTTATTGTTTCCCGGAATCATTTTATATAAGGTACCTTGTTTTGTCTCGTTAAAAGGTAAGACCTTCATACGAAATTGGTAAGGTTGAAATTACATTGCGCGAGAGGTGCTTGTATAGTTGATAAAGTTCGACGATGACGTGTAGGACTCAGTAGTGCCGATTGTAGTACTGCCTGAGTCGTAAACTTTAGGTAAAACCTTCTCAATACATAGTTTGAAGACATCTCAAAACATCTATAAGACATTGAGTAGTACACATTTAAATAAAATACTATTAACGGTGTAAAACGCCAAGTGTTTTAGGTAAAATATTTACAATTCCTGCAAACCAACGTCGGGCCGTAGATTAAATAAAAATCCGTGATTTAATCCGTTCCAATGACCAATTATAGACAACGCACAATTGAAAAAAAAGGGTGAAAATTAAAAAAAAGACTAAATGGTCATAAGTCAGTTTTCTTGTATCAATTTACTGTCCCAATTAAAAGATCACACTGTATATTGCTCCTGTACTATACCCCATTCAGAAAATAGTTACGTATCTGGTCCTTACGTAAGTATGCGGCAGACGGTTGGCACGCCTGATCAATCGATGCGCCTTGGCGAGCCCCGGTAGGTCATGAACTTAGAGCCCACCCATGCCAACTTATCTAGATTTTACGTAATTGACGGTTTAAAACGAGATACAAATAAATGTATTTTATCTTACTAATATAACTTTTGACGGACACTTTGGTGTAACGGTAGCGATGTATTAAATTGTGGTCGTGGGTACTATACCCAGAATGTTTAAAATCAATTTATATTTAAATAAAACACTTTAACGGTTTAAAACGGGATATATTAGTTAAACTTATTTGAAAATGATTTTTAACTTCGGCCCGACGTTTCGGATGCTTTGCAGCAGCCGTGGTCACGGGGAGACTTATATTTAATCAATTTATATTCTGAAGCATATTGGACTTTGTCTGGAAATTTGAAAATTAAATTGGTAGTAAGAATTTTCAAAATTATATCCGGGTCACGAACCAATATTATTAATTTATACAGTTATATTATGATTATATAGTTATCTGTGGTTATTTGAGATGCCACGAAACATAGAAGTATTTTTTTTTAAATATTTACAC